CACTGACAGCAGGTGAATATGGACCAGTGGATTCACTCTGTCACTGCATCCAACAGGTCAGTGTGTGGATGCAAAACAACTTTCTCCAGCTAAATTCAGACAAGACTGAAGTCATCGTATTTGGTCCACAGAAACAAAGAGAAAGTGTCAGCAGTCACCTCCAGTCTCTCTCTCTGAAACCTACAAATCAGGTTAGAAATCTCGGGGTAATAATGGACTCAGACTTGAACTTTAACAGCCACATCAAATCAATAACATCAGCAGCTTTTTACCATCTAAAAAACATCGCCAAAATCAAAGGTATAGTGTCTAAACCTGACTTGGAGAGACTTATCCATGCATTTGTCTCTAGTAGGTTAGATTACTGTAACGGCCTGCTCACTGGCCTCTCCAAACGGGCCGTAACTGGGTGTTCACACCGGACGCGAGTGAAGCGAATTGCACGCGCGTAACGCGTGGGTTTAGACGCCTGACCATTTTGTTCATTCGCTTCATCGCATCATTCGCGCGAGTAGCGGGGAAGCCGGCTGTGCTAACCGGAGCTAAGCTAGTGCTAACGTTCATAGTACAACCATTCTGCAAACTAATTAAACACACATATTTACAGAACTTACCAAGTAGACCAGTCTCCTCGGCGACTTTCACCCAAGCCTGCTCCTTTTTGTTGCGGTCCCTGCAGAGTAGACACGTAGTATCATATAGCTCCAGGTAGCCGCACACCGCAATGATAAGTTTCTCCTTCATCTCGGCATCAACAACTGGACGTCGGGGCGTCAAGACGTCACTGACGACCATGGCAAGATAACCACCATCGCTACTTTGTTGTTTACCTCCTCTGGAAGTCCCAGATGCATCGGAGGGCCACACGCCGTCGTTTTTGGGTTCACCCTATCCTGCAGAAGCGCATCCAGCTCGGCGAGTTTCACCACCTCCTCCACGAACTCCGTCTGGATGATAGCCGCTTTCAGCAGTACTTCAGGCTGACTGGGGCCCAGTTTGAGGACCTGTTGGCGAGGGTTGGCGCCAGGATCTCCCGGCAGGACACCAACTACAGCCGCTCCATTTCAGCTGCGGAGCGTCTGTCCCTCTGTCTCCGGTGAGTAGCAGTTTATTGTTGTTGACACACGCCAGTGACTTCGGTAGAATCTCAATGCTGATTGGCTTTCGCGGCACAGCTTCACGTGAATTCGTTTCAAATGTTCAATATTTTCAACTCGAGCGATGAGGCGTTGGACGCGAATTTCGCGTCCATCGCGTCGCGCTAGACGCGTCCATCGTGCCGCCCGGCGCGAATTCGCGTCTAATCGCGTCTTTGCATTGACTTTGTATGTAATCTTGACGCGTGAATTTGCGAATTCGCGTTTGGTGTGAACGCAGACTAAGACAGCTGCGGTACATCCAGAATGCTGCTGCTCAGGTCCTGACCAGAACCAGGAAGTACGAGCACATTAGTCCTGTGCTCAGGTCTCTACACTGGCTTCCTGTGGCTCAGAGAATAGACTTTAAAGCAGCTCTGCTTGTGTACGAGTCTCTCCATGGCCTAGCACCAAAGTACATCTCTGACATGTTAGTGCCATATGAACCATCTTGGACTCTGAGGACCTCAGGGACCGGCCTCCTGCTGGTGCCCAGAGTCAGGACTAAACATGGGGAATCAGGATTCCAGTTTTATGCAGCTAAAATCTGGAACAGTCTTTCTGAAGATGTGAGACAGGCCTCTACTCTGACAATGTTCAAATCTAGGCTCAAAACAGCTCTATCTCACTGTGCATATGACTGAAAGGATCTTATCTGCACTCTTCTCTTTTAAAGTTCATTTTATAATGATTATTTATGTTTTTATTTTGTATTGTGATTTTAATGCATTTTCTTGTTCTGTAAAGCACCTTGAATTACTTTGTGTACGAATTGTGCTCTACAAATAAACTTGCCTTGCCTTGCCTCAGACATCCGGCTCTGCCCCCTCCATTGTGATTGGCTAAAGCGCAGCATCGTTCAAACTCGAAGCCCTGCCCCCCCCCCAGTCGTCTTTCACACAGGGCTGCCGACAGATTCTACTATGTAGATTGTAGAATCTATCTTGAGAGATCACTGTGACCTTGACTGCCTCATTTTTGTTAATGCGATATTTCAAGAATACCATGGGAATTTCTTCCACTTTGGGTCATGGGTGAACTGATTAGCATTTGTTCGTCAAAGGTCATAGGTTAACGTCACTGTGACCTTCTCTATTATATTCTTGTGTATGCGAGAACACGTTGAAGGAATTTTTTAAAACTCGGCACAAACGTTTACTTGGATTCGACTATGAACTAATTAGATTTTAGTGGTCAAAGTCCAAGATCAGTGTGACCGTGCATCAGTCTCATTCTTGTAAACACAATATCACAAGAATACCTTGTGGGAATTTCTTCAAATTTGGCACAAACATTCACTTGGACTCTGATGAACTAGCTAGATTCCGGTGGTCAAATGTCAAGGTCACTGTGACCTTGTCTGTCTCATCCTTGTAAATGCACTATCTCAAGTATGCCACAGGAATTTCTTCAAATTTGGCACAAACATCCTCTTTGGGTCAAGGATGAACTAATTAGCATTTGGTGGTCAAATGTCAAAGGTTAAGGTCACTGTGACCTCCTTTTTTGTATTCTTGTGAATGCAAGAATATATTGAGTGAATTATTTTTTTTCAAATTTGGCACGTTTACTTGGACTCGACAGTGAACTGATTCGATTTTGGCGGTCAAAGGTTAAGGTCACTGTGACCTTGCATCAATCTCATTCCTGTGAACACAATATCTCAAGAATATCTCGTGGGAATTTCCTTAAATTTGGCACAAGCGTCCACTTGGACTGAAGAGTAAAGGGATTAGAATTTGGTAGTCAAAGGTCACTGTGACCTCCTTTTGTTTATTCTTCTGCGTGCGAGTTCTCAAGAACACGTTGAGGGAATTTTTTCAAATTTGGCACAAACAATTGGATTCGACTATGAACTGATTAGTTTATGGTGGTTAAAGGTTAAGGTCACCCTGACCTTGCATCAATCTCATTCCCATGGAAATGATGAAAAGAATACCTAAAGGGAATTTCTTTAAATTTGGCACAAACATCCACTTGGACTGAAGAATAAACTGATTAGAATTTGGTAGTCAAAGGTCAGTGTGACCTCACAAAACATGTTTTTGTCCATAACTGAAGAATTCATTCACTAATTCTGACCAAACTTGACACAAATGTCTAACAGGATAAAATAATAAAGGTCAAAGGTCAGCATGACTGTGACATCATCATGTTTTAACGTCATATCTCAGGAACAGAAGGGGAGACATTTGCTCAGATACTGAATTGATGACTCTAATCATGAAACTGTGCTGATTGTATAGATTTTCTGTGTGTGAAGCATCCATGTTTTCACTGACATGGATGGAGACTGTCAGAGACACTGGACTGGTGGGCAGAGTCATACAACCACAGGGTGGGCTGGTGGGCGGAGTCATACAACCACAGGGCGGACTGGTGGGCGGAGTCATACAACCACAGGGTGGACTGGTGGGCGGAGTCATACAACCACAGGGTGGACTGGTGGGCGGAGTCATACAACCACAGGGTGGGCTGGTGGGCGGAGTCATACAACCACGGGGCGGACTGGTGGGCGGAGTCATACAACCACAGGGTGGACTGGTGGGCGGAGTCATACAACCACAGAGTGGACTGGTGGGCGGAGTCATACAACCATGGGGCAGTGCTGCTTGTCTTTTTAATGTTCTTTAACTGTTCATCTCCACAGATGTGATCTCTCTCTCTCAGTCACTGGAACATGATGCTGTTCAATGTCTCTTTAAGAGAATAAAGACACAGTCACCAACATGTGGTTTGTGTGTCTGAACTGGTTTCACCTGCTGTGTTACTGGGGTTACTGGAGTTTGTTGGTCAGCGCTCATCATGGAAATAAGAGTCCTGGACAGGAAGTGTGTGTTATTTTATACAGACGATCATTTTACTACTTTGTTAATTTTAGTCCTCAGGATAATCAGGCCGGGATTCGATGGCTTTCTGAGATGATTTTCAGGTCCAGACTCAAAAAGACCTCGGTGTAATCTTCAACTCCAGCCTCAACTTAGCCCTGCACATTGAATCTGTTGTTCAATCATGTTTTTGATGTGTATTTATCCTGTCTGATAGAACAGGAATGATGTCTAACATCAGGCTGCTGTGTTTGATTTCACTCTCCATCTGTTCCCTGAGAACAACTTCCTGCTTCACTTCACCTGCACAGGTGGCTTCTGTTACTGCTGCTTCAACTGGACGAACACAGGGAGGCTTTTATTGTGAAGGAGTCACAAGAAGCACGATGTACTCGTCACTGAGGTGTTTACAAAACATAACAGTCATTTATTGAGTTGATGATGTTGCTACAGTAACCAGTGTAATATCAGGGTCTGACCACCAGAGGGCGTCGTGCTGCTGAGCTGGTCACATGACCGCAGGAAACATGCGTCTAACTAAACCAGTTATTATAGTGAACTCAAACTAAAAGCTAAAACTAGGTGTGAAAAACATTTTAGTTCTCTCAATGTAAAAATAAATGAAAAAGACTTAAAAGAAAAGGAAGGTAACTGAAGTGATATTATTCAAACTAAAATAAAATAAAATAAAAATAAGAACTTCTTTAATCTGCCTGCTGACTCCCCCCATGTTATAATAAAAACAAAAATACTCAAGCTAATAAAAGCTCAACAGTTTAAATGTTAAAAATACAAAACTATAATAACTCTGCTCTAAACTGACCACAGATCTGATCTGATGCAACATTAATGTACAGAAATAAATCTATTGCTATAATGCTTCATTTTCTGATTGGCTACAAAAATACAAAATAATATGTAACAGTTTTAAAATTCTTTCAGCAAAATGACTGAAAAAAAACCCCTCATTATTAAATAAAATAATTAAGAACATAATTTTTAAAAGTAAATATAAACAATAAAAATAAATTGTAATGATTTCAAAATCAAATCATCATGGAAACATTTGAAGAATGACAAAGAAAATTAGAAAAAAAATCACTGAATCTGAATAAAACAATACAAAATAAAAAAACAAATATAAAAATAATAACTTAGAAAAAAATACAGAAAATAAAATGTAATGATTTTAAAATATAATCAGCAGTGAAACATTTGCAAAATGACAAAGTGAGAGCAAAATAGTTAATTATTAAAATAATTCATAGTGAAAAAAGTTAATATTAAAATAAAAAAGTTACTATAAAAGGAAATGAATGCAAATGTTTTAAAATGTCAGAATATTTAACATTAGAAAAACTGAAATCCTGCAGAAGAAATTCTGACTATTGTTAAGTTTATTTCCTAATAAAGAGATTTCTAGATATCGTTCTAAATACAGAAGCCTCAACTGCCTAAAAATTAAAAACTACAGATTCAACTGAAAAAGGAAAAAAACTGAATCAAATAAAAGAATTTAAAATAACAATCAGGACGACAGTGTAAATCAGTCCCAAGGGATTCTGGGAATGATTGTAGTTCATTCATCATTTCAGTCAAATTAAAAAGCAGCACTCTTCCTGTGAAGACTGACATCACAATGCAACCAATCACAGCTGAGGTGGAGTTGTTGCCCCGCCCCCTTCGTACTGATTATCCTGATTATCTATGGAGGCAGGATTTCTATTTAACAGCAGAGGAAGAAGTTCAAACAAACTGCTTGGGCTTCTGGGTGGAGGTGGGTGTGGCCTGTGGTGGGAGGGGCTTGTGCTTCTCTGACGACTCTCCCTGGTCGCCGTGGAGATGAGGCGGGGCCTCAGCTACTGTTGACAAAATAGAACAGGAAGCATTGAAAACATTAGCGACTGTTTTTTACTTATCAGAGGAGGGAGTGGCTGAGGTGTGACGCTCCCTGAAACTAAAAATATTTTTCCTTGAGCCTCCCTTTAGAAGGGAAATTGCCAAAATTTGGAATGCATGTTTTCTACAAATTGCCAAAATTACATCGCCAAAATTTGGAAAAGTCAACAAAATGTTCAAGGTTTTTTTTATTTTTTAAAAAAATACAAAAATATAATGACCAAAATTTTGAAAATCCCCCAAATTAGGAAGGCATGTTTTCTTTTAATAAATGCCAAAATTAAATGGCCAAAAATTGGAAAATTGCTAAAATTTGGAAGGCATATTTTCTTTAAAAATTGCTAAAATTAAATGGCTGATATTTATGAAATTATTTTCTTTTTTTTTTCTTAAAAAGATGCCAAACTAAATGGCCAAAATTTGGAAAATCACCACAAATTTTGAAGGCATTTTTTTCTTTAATTATTTATTTATTTATTTATTTTTACAAAATTAAATTGCCAAAGTTTGGTAAATTCACCAAAATTTGGAAAGCATGTTTTTTTTTTGTTTTTTTCTTTTAAAGAAAAAGCAAACACTAAATGGCCAAAATCTGGAAAATCACCACAAAATTTGAAGGCATTCTTTTCTTAAAAAAAATAAAGAAAGAAAGAAGAAGAAGTTTGGTAAATTGCCAATTGTAAATTGCCAATTGTCGTCCTCCGCTTATCCGGGTCCGGGTCGCAGGGGCAGCAGCCTCAGCAAAGAAGCCCAGACAGTCCTCTCCCCTGCCACTTCTGTCAGCTCTTCCGCGGGAACCCCGAGGCGTTCCCAGGCCAGCCGGGTGATGTAGTCCCTCCAGCGTGTTCTGGGGCGGCCCCGAGGTCTCCTCCCGGTTGGACATGCCCGAAACACCTCCCAAGGGAGGCGTCCGGAAGGCATCCTTACCAGATGCCCGAACCACCTCAACTGGCTCCTCTCGATGTGGAGGAGCAGCGGCTCTACTCCGAGTCCCTCCCGGATGTCTGAGCTCCTCACCCTATCCCTAAGGCTGAGCCCAGCCACCCTGCGGAGGAAACTCATTTCGGCCGCTTGTACTCGCGATCTCATTCTTTCGGTCACTACCCAGAGCTCGTGACCATAGGTGAGGGTTGGAACGTAGATTGACCGGTAAATTGAGAGCTTCGCTTTCTGGCTAAGTTCCCTCTTCACCACAACGGACCGGTTAAGCGCCTGCATCACTGCTGACGCCGCCCCAATCCGCCTGTCAATCTCCCGCTCCATCCTACCCTCACTCGTGAACAAGATCCCGAGATACTTAAACTCCTCCACCTGAGGAAGGACCTCCCCCCTGACCTGGAGTGGGCAATCCACCCTTTTCCGGCTGAGGACCATGGCCTCAGACTTGGAGGTGCTGATTCTCATCCCAGCCGCTTCACACTCGGCTGCGAACCGCCCCAGCGAGAGCTGGAGGTCACTGTTCGATGGAGCTAGGAGGACCACGTCATCCGCAAAAAGCAGGGACGAGATCCTCCCGTCACCGAACCTGACACCCTCCACCACTCGGCTGCGCCTAGAAATTCTGTCCATAAAAGTTATGAACAGAACCGGTGACAAAGGGCAGCCCTGGCGGAGTCCAACCCTCACCGGGAACAGGTCCGACTTACTGCCAGCCACGCGAACCAGACTCATGCTCCTTCGGTACAGGGACTGGATGGCCCTTAGCAAGGGGCCACCAACCCCATACTCCCGGAGCACCCCCCACAGGATGCCCCTGGGGACACGGTCGTAAGCCTTCTCCAAATCCACAAAACACATGTGGACTGGTTGGGCAAACTCCCATGCCCCCTCCAGCACCCTGGCGAGGGTAAAGAGCTGGTCCACGGTTCCGCGTCCGGGACGAAAACCACATTGCTCCTCCTCAATCTGAGGTTCAACTATCGACCGGACCCTCTTCTCCAGCACCCTGGAGTAGACCTTACCGGGTAGGCTGAGGAGTGTGATCCCCCTGTAGTTGGAACACACCCTCTGGTCCCCTTTCTTGAAAATGGGGACCACCACCCCGGTCTGCCACTCCAGAGGCACTGCCCCCGATGTCCACGCAATGTTGCAGAGGCGTGTCAGCCAGGATAGCCCTACAACATCCAGAGCCTTGAGATATCCAGGACGAATCTCATCCACCCCCGGGGCTCCGCCACCTCGGAGTTGTTTCACTACCTCAGCAACTTCTGCCCCAGAAATTGGACGACCCGCCCCCGAGACCCCCGTCTCTGCTTCCTCACTGGAATACGTGTTGGTGGGATTGAGGAGCTCCTCAAAGTATTCCTTCCACCGCCCGACAATGTCCCCAGTTGACGTCAGTAGCTCCCCGCCCCCACTGTAAACAGTGTGAGCAAGTTGCCGCCTTCCCCCCCTGAGGCGCCGGACGGTTTGCCAGAACCTCTTTGGAGCCGATCGATAATCTTCCTCCATGGCCTCCCCGAACTCCTCCCACGCCCGAGTTTTTGCCTCAACGACTGCCGCCGCTGCGCTCCGCTTGGCCTGCCGGTACCCATCAGCTGCTTCCGGAGACCCACAGACCAACCATGTCCTGTAGGCCTCCTTCTTCAGCCTGACGGCTCCCCTCACCTCTGGTGTCCACCAGCGGGTTCGGGGATTACCGCCGCGACTGGCCCCAGTGGCCTTGCGGCCACAGCTCGAGGTCAAATGATACAACTACAAAGTCGATCATTGACCTGCGACCTAGGCTGTCCTGGTGCCACGTGCACTGATGGACATCCTTATGTTTGAACATGGTGTTAGTTATGGCCAAACTGCGACCCGCACATAAGTCCAATAACTGAACACCACTCGGGTTCAGATCGGGCAGGCCGTTCCTCCCAATCACGCCCCTCCAGGTCCCGCTGTCATTGCCCACGTGAGCGTTGAAGTCCCCCAGCAGAACAGTGGAGTCCCCGGTCGGGGCACTGTCCAGCACCCGTCCCAGGGACTCCAAAAAGGGTGGGTACTCTGAACTGTTGTTTGGTGCATAAGCACAGACAACAGTCAGGACCCGTTCCTGACCCGAAGGCGCAGGGAAGCAACCCTTTCGTCTACCGGGGTAAACCCCAACGTACAGGCACAGAGTCTGGGGGCTATCAGAAAGCCCACCCTGGCCCTCCGCCTCTCACCCGGAGCAACTCCAGCGAAGGAGAGAGTCCAACCCCTCTCAAGGACTAGGGTTCCAGAGCCGGAACTATGTGTCGAGGTGAGGCCGACTATATCTAGCCGGTAGCGCTCAACCTCACACACAAGCTCCGGCTCCTTCCCCGCCAGAGAGGTGACATTCCATGTCCCAAGAGCCAACTTCTGTAGCCGAGTATCGGACCGCCAAGGCCCCCGCCTTGGTCTGCTGCCCAATCCACATTGCACCGAACCCTTCTGGATCCCTCTGCGGGTGGTGGGCCTGCAGGGGGATTAGTCCATGTAGCCGGTTCGGGCTGGGCCCGGCCGGACCCCATGGGCGAAGGCCCGACCTCCAGGCGCTCGCCCACGGGCCCCAACCCCAGGCCTGGCTCCAGGGCGGGGCCCCGGTAACCCTCCGGGCCGGGTACACGTGTCCTTGTTTGTATCCATCATGAAGGGTCTTTTGAACCGTTCTTCGTCTGACCCTTCGCCCAGAACCAATCTGCCATGGGAAACCCTACCAGGGGCAAAATGCCCCCGACAGCATAGCTCCCAGGGTCATTAGGGCACTCAAACTTCTCCACCACGATAAGATGACGGTTCTCGGAGGAGAACCAAAGTTTGGTAAATCGCCAAAAATAGAGGGCATGTTTTCTTTAAAAAACAAAAAATTCCAAAATGAAATGGCCAAAATTTGGAAAATTCACCAAAATTTGGAAAGCATGTGTTTTTGTTTGTTTGTTTTTTTAAAGGAAACGCAAACACTAAATGGCCAAAATCTGGAAAATCACCACAAATTTTGAAGGCATTTTTTTCTTTAACAAAACAAACAAACAAACAAAAAAAAGAAGTTTGGTAAATTGCCAAAAAAATTTGAGGGCATGTTTTCTTTAAAAAAAAAAAAAAAAAGCCATAATGAAATGGCCAAAACTTGGAAAATTCACCAACATTTGAAAAGCATGTTTTCTTTTAAAATTGCCAAAATTGCATCGCCAACATTTGGAAAATCTCTAAAATTTGGAAGACATGTTTTCTTTAAAATCTGCGGTAAAATAAATACAAAATACAACCATTTAAATTTGCATGCCCCTTCCCTAAGCCAAAATAAATTTAAAAAAAATTATTTGACATGCCTCCAACTTTTTCCATCACCCCACCCTGTGTGTGTGTGTGTGTGTGTGTGTGTGTGTGTGTGCCTTACTCTGCATGTTGGACAGAGCGTACTCCAGCCCCTTCATGGCTTTGGCTTGGTTACTTTTAAACCTGGCGAGTCCAAACTCCTGTCAGAGACACAAAGAGTTGAAGCTCATTCAGACCGTCTCTATCTGGACGTGATTTTAATCCTGTTAGTTTACAGTTTGTCTCCGTTCACACTGTTAGCAGCTCCTGTTTGGACACACAGACAACATTTCACTGAGTTATGAAGAGGAGAAGACAGAGGCAGAGTCTGGACCTGTATGGGTCGGGCCAGGCCGTAGACAGCAGACAGGATCCAGGCCTCCCTCCTTAGTTTGGTCCAAGATGGCCGACTGCGGTCCTCCTCAAACAAACAGCACTCCACCACCGTCTGGGGGACAGTTCATATATTTAGATTAGAGGGCTGAGAAAATTAAACTTTTGACGTGTAAAGAAACGGATGGTAAACGTGTCTCTGACCATCAGCGTGTTGTGGTTCAGGTTCCAGGTCTTGGTGATGAGCGTGTGCGTCTGCGGGTCGACGATGGAGTCCTCCAGGACGTAGACGGCCCGGGCCATGTGAGCAGGGAAGACGCGCTCCGCCCAGCCCGGCAGCCGGTTGGTCTTGGTCAGCAGTCGCCGTGACAACAGGTGGTTGTTGGGGGTGACCTCACGGTACAGGACGTCCTCAGTGAGGACGTGGGCACTGACGCACACAAAGATGTACAGACTTATACTGAGAGACATGCCTGTGGTCAATTCTGTCCATCTCTGTGGAGACCACTTTGAGTTTTAAACCTCATCAGAACAAAAACTGAAGATTCTTTAGAAACACATTTTTGTAACTTTAAGACAGTTGAGGAAAATTAGGACATTTTTGAAAAGGAACATTTTAGGTTGAGAATTTTTTAGAAAGTTGGGGGATTTTTAGAACGTGCATTTATACGATGAAGACAGTTTTGGAAATGGAGGACATGGAAAGAAGGGACATTTTCAGAAAGAGCATTTAGGAGAAGTGAGGACATTCGTAAAAAGTTAAAACATATTTTGAAATTGAGTACAATTTAGGAAAGTGAAAATATGTTTTGGAAAGTGGAGAATTTTTTTTTGTAAAAGCGGACATTGTCAGAACTTAAAATATTTATGGAAATCTTGGTCAGTTTAGGAAAAATGGGGATTTTATTTTGGAAAAGTAACATTTAACAAAGTGGGGACATTTTTGGAAAGTAAAGTCATTTTTTTGAAACAGCGTTGTTTAAAGGTGAGGACATTTTTAGAAAGACATATTAGAGGGGAAAATGTTTTTGAAAAGGTGCAATAACGTTTTGGAAATTGAGGGCATTTATGGAAAATAGCAACATGCTTGGAATTGAAGAACATTTTGGGTGAGTAATTTTTGGAAATTAAAAAAAGAAGGGGGATATTATTGAAAAGAGGACATTTTTTGAAAGGCAGGATGTTTTAGAGGTCCTGAAAAGTTAGGACATTTTGGAATATGAGGACATTTTTAAAAAGTTACGACATTTTGGAATATGAGGACATTTTTAAAAAGTTGGGACATTTTTTGAAAAGTAAAGACAATTTTGAAAAGTTAGGACATTTTGGAATATGAGGACATTTTTAAAAAGTTACGACATTTTGGAATATGAGGACATTTTTAAAAAGTTGGGACATTTTTTGAAAAGTAAAGACAATTTTGAAAAGTTAGGACATTTTGGAATATGAGGACATTTTTAAAAAGTTACGACATTTTGGAATATGAGGACATTTTTAAAAAGTTGGGACATTTTTTGAAAAGTAAAGACAATTTTGAAAATTTAGGACATTTATGGAAAATAGGGAATTTTTGGTAATGGGAGCACATTTTGGAACATGAAGACATTTAGGAAAACAGGTCTTCAAAGAGGTTTCAGGTTTAAGGTTAGAATCAGGTCTAGGTTCAGTTGAGGGTTAGGGTTCGGGGGTTAAGTTATCGTCAGGTTATCCAGATTTACTGATTTCAGCTGTCAGAGGACAAACAGAGTGTCACCTGTATTCACCTGTAAGGGTTCGGGTAGCGCTGCCAGAAGGCAGCCAGCACCTGATGCCACGGACTCTTAATGTCGACCTCACTGTGGAAATACCTCCCCATGTCACGGCCGACTCATTCAGGTGCTGCAGGAAAAAGCAAGACAAAAACACATTTCATAAATGTTTTCACTTGTTTTTAGACAGAATTAATTTCTTTGTTTAATTTATTTTATTGTAAGTGTCTTTCTGATCTTTGATTTGTTTTGTTTGTACAAGTAGTATTTCAAGTATGTCAGCGTTCAGCTAAATTAGAAAGTGAAGTTTAAAGTAAAAGAAGAGTGTGCTATGAGGTCATAGACTGTAAATATAAGTCACCACTACAATACAAAAACATTTAATTTCAAGTGTGAACAGATTGTAGTGCAGCTGCAGCTGGTTAGCAGTTATTCTGACCATTATATTTTTTAATTAATTAATATTTTTACTCAGTTAGAATAATAATAACATAATAATAAAACGCTCTGAAAGTTATTTCTGTATGAGCACCTTTTCTTTTCTTTTGATACTGTATATTTTGCTGATAATGCTTATGCACTTTAACTTAAGCTCTTTAAGTACATTTTACACCACTGTGTATAAATCTAAACCAGTGATGGATGTGTTGGGGAGTAACTAGTTACACATAAATTACAAAGTAAATGTAACTATATTTAGTAAAGTTACTGAGAAAGAAATGTAATTAAGTTAGTTACTTATTATAAAAGATTAAGCAACATTTGTTTAAAAAGTAGTCCAATGAAATAAGTTAATTCAATTCAATAGAACTTTATTTAACCTGAAGAAAGTTCTTCTGCCAGAAAATGCTTCAAATTACAGTAACAATAAGTTTAAAGATTCACAACCAGAACAACCAGTGGGTTCCCGGGGTCAGGGTCACACACTGGGCCCAGTTTCAGAAGAAGACAGTATTACATATCTGACAAAGTATACAAATATACAAGACAGGCAATTAAGTAATTAAAGTAGTTACATTAGCCTAATTATTACATTTTAACAGGGTAACTGGTAAATTTCAAAACTAACGTTTCCAGCAGTGAACAGGGAAGAAGAAAACTGACGGGAACATTTTACTGCACAATGAATGAATACTTTTTACTTCAAGTACATTGTGATGGTAATACTCTAATACTTTTACTTCTGTTAGGTTTGTAATGCGGGAGCTGTACATGTAATGATTTGTGTGATTTTCACAGTAGTTCTTTTACTGAAGTTAACAAGTGGCTTTCAAATGGTAGGATTTTGTGATAACCACACGTTATTACTGCAATATTGGACTGGGCCTGTACTGATACAGTCAGTTAGAAATTCATTCATAACTTTTTGTATAAAAAATGTAATATAATTTAACTTAAAAAACCTACTAGTTGCTGTTCACGCAAGGGAATTGTGTGTGTGACATCTTATCTTACATTATTCCCCATTTAAATGGATGTGTTATTGGTGCTCTGGTGTAATATTAAAAAGTTTAAAATTAATTCTTAAATCATTTTGATGGGTGGTGTCAATTTTTATTTGATATTAGTAAATAAAAACAAACATTTATGTTGTGGTAACACGTTATATAAAGTATCTGAATGATCCTTTCAACACAAATCCAGCAGGACAAAAAACATCTGCGTTGGCCGGGAATCGAACCCGGGTCAACTGCTTGGAAGGCAGCTATGCTAACCACTATACCACCAACGCCTGTGAGAACAGCATGCTTATCAAACTGTTTTATACGCGACAGTATGATTTATATGTTCTTCTGATATTTATTATTAATGTTCAGTTGTACCACTAACGTCTCTGTGGACCGTTAAAATATAGGTTTGATGTTTAAAGATGTTTAATGGCGGCTAGCATTACTGATTTAGCGGCTAATGCTAGCAGCTAGCATAGATGCTGCTAAGTCGGTATAACGTGTCAGGATTTGAAAAGACTCTGGTCGGTTCTTCCAGTTAACGTTAGCTTAATACAGTTAGTGTCAACTGTTAACGGTTAACGGTTAATGTTAGACCGCCACAACCGGCTGGTGACCTGTTTCAGGACCTGCTTCAACCCACGGCTCTGAAGCTGAGCTAGTTAGCTTTTAGCCGGAGTTATGGTCCCAGTGCGACAAAGCGTTCAGGGGGCTTTGTTCGAATATTTAGCCCCATCAGCAGCAGCAGTGTCCGGGTCAGTGCGGCAGCCTCCAGCCGGACAGACACCGCAGGCTGCAGAGGAAGCTAGCAGCTAGCAGCTAACAGCTAGCAGCTAACAGCTAGCAGCTAACAGCTAGCAGCTAACAGCTAGCAGCTAGCCGGGGAGCTAACATACCTGCAGCAGGCTGATGAGGAGCAGCTCGCTGTTAAATCCTGGAGGAGCTGCAGACTGAAAACATGATGAGTAAAACTCAGCAGGTTGGTTCCGTTCAGATTTACAGCTGCAGAGAAAAGACAGATAAACTCCTGTCAGCTGATCATAACAACAATAAGTGTGTACTTCACAGTGTCCTCCAGCAGAGGACGAGCTGGGACCATGCTGTCAAGAGCTCAGTGTCTGTGACTGAGCTGGACAAGAGTTCACATCCTTCACTGCACAAACACCACTGACACCACTCTGCACTGTGCTGCAGGTGCAATGTGACATGACTGACACACTCAGGACATATTTAGGGAAAGTGGGGACATTTTTGGAAAGTAAAATTTAAAGTGAGGGCAGTTTTTTAGAAAAGGCAGGACGGTTTTGAAACATCAAGACAGTTTTGTAAATTTGACTTTCTTGGGAAAAAAGGGACATTTTTGGAATGGGAAGGCATTTCAGGGCAGTGAGGACAGTTTTTAAAAGTGGGAGGTTGCTGAAAATGTAGGACATTTGTAGAAATTAAGAAAGTTGGGATATTTTCGGAGGTAACATTGTAGAAAGTAAGGACTTTTTTAAGGAGACTATAAAAGGCAGGGCATTTTTGGAAGTTAAGGACATTCTTTGGAAAGACAAGTCAATTTTTTTAAATTTGACCTTCTTGGAAAATCTTTAAAAGCAGGAGATTGTCGAAAATTGTGGACATTTATAGAAACATTTTTGGAAAACAATTGGCATTTTAGAAAGTGGGTATATTTTTGGAAAGTGGGGATATTTGGGGAAAATGAGAAAAACATTTTGGGTGAAGCCATTTTTTAAAGTGGGAAATTGTTGAAAATTTAGGACATTTATAGAAATTGAGGACATTTTTGAAAAAAAATCAACATTTTCAGAAAGTTGGGATATTTTGGGAGGTAACATTATAGAAAGTTAGGACTTTTTTAAGGAGACTATAAAAGGCAGGGCATTTTTTGGAAAGACAAGTCACTTTTGTAAATTTGACCTTCTTGGAGGAGAGGGACGTTTTGAAAGGAGAACATTTTGGGTGAGGCCATTTTTTTGATTGTTAGAAATTGGGGACATTTCTAAAAACATTTTTGGAAAACTAACGGCATTTGTAGAAAGTGGGTATATTTTGGAAAGTGAGGATATTTGGGGAAAATGAGAAAAACATTTTAGGTGAGGCCATTTTTTTTAAGTGGGTGATTTAAAAAAAAATTAGGACATTTATAGAAATTAGGGACATTTTTGAAAAATATCAACATTTTTAGAAAGTTGAAATATTTTGGAAAGTGGAGACAGTTTTGGGTGGTAACATAAGTAAGGACTTTTTTTAAGGAGACTATAAAAGGCAGGGCATTTTTGGAAGTTAAGGACATTTTTTTGGAAAGACAAGTCAGTTTTTTAAATTTGACCGTGGAAAATATTTTGGGTGAGGCCATTTTTTTATTTGATAAAATTGATGAAAATTTTGGAAAAATAATGGCATTTTTAGAAAGTGGATATATTTTTGGAAAGTGCAGATATTTGAGTAAAATCAGAAAAACATTTTGGGTGAGGCCATTATTTTTAAAAGTGGGAGATTGTTGAAAATTTAGGACATTTATAGAAATTAGGGACATTTTTGAAAAATATCAACATTTTTAGAAAGTTGAGATATTTCAGAAAGTTGAGATGTTTTGGAAAGTGGGGACAGATTTGGGAAGTAACATTACAGAAAGTAAAGACATTTTTTAAGGAGACTATAAAAGGCAGGGCATTTTTGGAGGTGAAGGTGAAGTCAGTTTTGAAAAATTGACCTTGGAAGAGAGCGATGTTTTTGGAATGAGAGCATTTTGGGTGAGGACACTTTTCAAACAGAGAGATTGTTAAAAATTGTGGACCTTTTTGGAAAAGTAACGGCATTTGTAGAAAGTCGGTATATTTTGGAAGGTGAAGATATTTGGGGAAAATGAGAAATTTTTTTGGGTGAGGCCATTTTCTTTAAAAAGTGGGAGATTTTCAAAAATTTAGGATATTTATGGAAATTAGGGACATTTTTGAAAAAAATCAACATTTTTATAAAGTTGAGATATTTTGGAAAGTGGGGACACATTTGGGAAGTAACATAGAAAGTAAGGACAATTTTTTGGAAAGACAAGTCAGTTTTGTAAAATTGACCTTGGAAGAGAGCGATATTTTTGAAATGAGAGCATTTTGGGTGAGGACACTTTTCAAACAGACAGATTGTTAGAAATTGTGGACATTTTTAAAAAAAATAAACATTTTATATAAAGTTTGGATATTATAGAAAGTAGGGACAACTTTTTTTTAGGGGGGGGGGGGGGGGCTGTAAAGGCAGGGCATTTTTGGTGGTTGAGGACATTTTTTGGAAAGACATGACAGTTTTGTAAATTTGACATTCTTGAAAAAGGGACATTTTTGGCTGAGGGCATTTTCTTGGGGGAGATTGTTAGACATTGAGGACATTTATTGGAAGGTAAAGACAGATCTGTGTGTGAAGCATCCATGTTTTCACACACATGGATGGAAACTTAAAGAAACTTGACAGGTGTGTGGAGGCGTACAACCACAGGCGGTAATTATATTTTTCTCTTTGTTTGTTTTTAAGGCTTCAATATACAAGATGTTAAAAAAACTTGTTGTCCTGTATTGAAAATGTAACTTCAGTGAAAGTCTGTTAAACGATTAAAAGTGACTGTTATACTGTTCATATATGATCTCTGTAGATGATTCTGACTCATGCATTGATATAAAGGCAGAGTTTGGAGTTGGTTTAGCTGGATCTCATTGTGAACTATTAACTAAAGATTATTTTAATTATGGATTCATCTGATGATTATTTTCTCTGTCAATCGATTAATTGTCTGTTCAGCCTTTTTGACTGGGATGATTTCTGTGATGTGGATCCTGAGGTACTTGTAGAGGAGCTCTAGTTTCTTTCCTGCTGTTTCCCCCAAATCAGCGATCAGCTCCTTGGTTTGTGGACATTCAGTGAGAGGCAGTTGTCCTGATTCTCGTCCTTCTCCTCTTTCTCATTACATTTAAAATGTTAAAGTCAAGGCATATGACACCACACCATCCTCAGACAAGATTATAAAAACAAAACAAACAAACAAAAAACATGAGAAATGTCAGAATGAATTCTCCAAATCTAAATCTATATGTAAAGTGATATTTTGGGACTTTTATCTGTTTCAGTGCAGGAAGTCGTCTTGTGATGGAGGTCTACCTGCAGCTCGCCCCACAGAGAGACAGACAGGTGACTGATGTCCTGGACAGTCGTGATGGACAGTCTGCAGGGTGAGGACAGCGGACCAGCAGCATGACGGAGTACATGGTGATGTAAAAACTCTTTTTACCACTCTTATAATAATTATATACAAAGGGTTTGAGGTAAATTGACAAAATGCGTCTTTTGTTTTCAGAAATAATTTTATTGGTTTGCAGTCACCAGGGGCCTCATGTACAAAGGGTGCGTATGCACAAAAAAGTGGCGTACGTCCTTTTCCACGGCAAAGTTCAGATGTATCAAGAGTGAAATGTCCGTGGAAATGTGTGTTGCCTCACGCCAACTTCATGGCTGGCGTACGCACGTTTCTACAGCTGTTGATCCTTAGGCGACACTTAGAGGTGATGCTGAGAAGCTGTTAGAATAGATAAATGTGAAAACAATTAGTCCTCAGAGTGATGTGCACACCAGAGACACATGAACAGTTAACACTGATGAACAATAACACACCCACGTGTTTGCAATTAGATGAGTGGATATAAAAGCATGCGCAAAGTGGTGCCGAAAATACTGTTAACAACAACGGCTGCTTAGCAAGACATTGTAAATGGCGCAATACGAAGAAAGCGTGTGTTCAGAGACAGATGGCACTGGCTCATCAGCTGCTTTAGGTTCCTGAGGCCTATCCTCCTGGAACTGTGCGCAGAGCTGCAGCCGGCAACGCGACACGGCGAGGAGCCATGCGCTGCCTGTATCCATACAGGTTCTGACCACACTGGGGTTCCTTAGCTCCAGGGTCATTCCAGAGGGAGCTGGCCGACTGATTGGGACTGTGCCAGTTGACCCTGAGCCGAGCCATGCCAGCTGTGTGGGACGGAATTATCTGCATGTCAGCCAGGTATATCAAATTCCCATATGCAGCTGAACAGGCCAACATTAAAGTGCAGTTTGCAGCCAGAGCCGGTTTTCCTAATGTTACCGGAGCTATCGACTGTACACACATGACTACAGTATAAAAGCACCATCACAGGATGAATGTGTTTATGTCAACAGGAAGCATTTCCATTCGATCAATGTACAGATCATATGTGATGCGCAAATGCAATTAATCAACATTGTTGTGAGGTGGCCTGGTTCAATGCACGATTCATAGCCTACATTCTGAGTAACAGCATGGTTGGGAACAGACTACAAGCTGGCACTGTGCGCGATGGGTGGCTTCTTGGTGAGTAATTTATTTGTTTAATTGTCCTAATATTAATCCTCCTGATGCGCACTGAGCATGTGCACCCCCAAATATTATCCTGTCTTCACAGCATCAGTACTAGTCAGTGGTTAAAGTTAGTGACTTGCTGTTTGTTGCTGGTTAAACTATAGCTTCAGAGCTTTCTAACAAGCCCCTGATTGTCTCTGTGTGTAAAGTACTCATGTCAATAAACTCGTGTGTAAAGTGCGACATTTCCTAATCAGCCTCACCTTTTCCCCGGCGCACTTACAATGGTGTGTGATCCGTGTAAGTGGTGTATAAAAAACAAATGGAAACTGTAAATCCAGTTCACATAATTATTTGTTTGCTTTGAACTGACCCCAGGCGACTCTCTGTCCCCCCGCCTGTTTTGGCCACACTTTGACGGTGGGCAGCCCTCCTCCGCTTCACGTCCACCTTAATGTCAGACCACTTCTTTTTTAATTCTGCGTGTGTATGCTTTTCTGTCCCCACAGCATTGACAGGCTCACACACACTCTCCCACTCACTCTGCATACGTTTAGTATTGATGCCGGAGGACAGCGTGCCAAAAAGTACATTTTTGTGCGCCTCCACTTCAGTGAGTGTCTCCATTTCGCATTCTGTGAAGTTTTACTTTTTTCCTGTCTTACTCATTCTTTTGTTTTAGTTTTCTGATCGTGCAGAGAGGGGAATCTCAGGTGCAGGGTTCATTTAAATATGATTTGCATATTTAAATGGTGTGTGGACAGGGAGGGGTCGGGTACTCCAACATGTGCGCTGAATTCCACGTTGATTGGGATGTACAAAGGAAATGTGCTTGGATTCATGTGTACACACAGATTCATACATCTGGATATTTTTGTGTGTACGAAGTTTTCTGGATTTAAGCGTACGCCATGTTTCAGTAGAAAATCCATGTAAGTACATGAGGCCCCTGGAGTCTAAAATTGCCAACGTCTAGGTGAGCAGAGCTTATGATACCCATTGAGAAATATGTCTGAAATGATGAGAGGAATGTGCGTACCAAATTTTGTGAGTATTGGAGCATTAGGGGGCGCTATGGAGCCCACAAAGCATGCTGAGGCCAGTCGCTGTATTTTCATGTAACGTTCACAGATGACCATGTGTGCCCCAAATTTCATGAGTTTTCAATGATAGCAAGGGCGTCAAAAATGCATTCAAATGCAGGAAGTCAGGCAGGTGCTATAGAGCTGAAGTGCCACACTCAAGCATAAATACACCACCAAGTCAAATTAATGTCTAGTTTGAACTTGCCTGAAAAGTTTTGTAAGTTTTGCACACCCTAAAGTCCCCAAACATGTGTTAGTAACATGATAAGAACAGACAAAATTCAAGATGGCTGACTTTCGGTTGAGAAAAAAAAAATTCACAAAATTTTCATAGACTTGGCAGAAATGATCCCTTCAAATTTAGTAAACATCGGGGCGCCCCCTGTAGGCTGAGATGTTAGCAGTGGCCCGGGTTTGATTTTAACCTGTGGCCCTTTGCTGCGTGTCGTCACCATTTGAGCATCAAAAACGCGATTAATGTCTACAAAAACAATAAGTTCCTCACACTTTCAGTACCCGGGACTGTTGGGCCGTGGTACTGAAAGTGCTCAGGCCCTAAAAAATACATAATAGACAATCATTCACACTCACATTCACACCTATGGACAATTTAGAGTCACCAATTAACCTGCATGTCTTTGGACTGTGGGAGGAAGCTGGAGCACCTGGAGGAAACCCACACTGACACAGGGAGAACATGTCAGAGCACCTGGAGGAAACCCACGCTGACACAGGGAGAACATGTCAGAGCACCTGGAGGAAACCCACGCTGACACAGGGAGAACATGTCAGAGCACCTGGAGGAAACCCACACTGACACGGGGAGAACATGTCAGAGCACCTGGAGGAAACCCACACTGACGCAGGTTTTTTTTTTAGTACCAGATCTGTGTGCTAGGTACCCCAACAGAGGGGGGACCAAACATGGGGACGCTAAGGAACGCTTCTGTTGGTACCATCCACAACTTTACTGAACTGAACTGCTCGGTGGAAACAGAGCTTATCTCAGCCCTCTTCACTCTGCTCATAAAAATGAGAATATCACAAACACTAAATATGTTGTTGTAATGTTTCTACATTTAAAAATCTTTTGGATCAAAGCATTTGTGTCTTTATTTTGTAAAAACTGATGAAAAAACAACCTTTTAGCTCAGGCTGTACAGATTTATGGATATGAAGCATTAGATACTCAAAGAAATGACATCACAACTGGAGGACTGTTTCTGTTTCTAAAGAAAAACACACACAAAAAATCACATTTTTAGTTAATTAAATTATGAAATATATTAATATAAATATATAATATATATGTATACATGTTTAAAGTTTAAAGTACCCAAAGTAAAGTTTCTTAAAATTTGTACTTGAGTACTTGAGTAAATGTATTTAGTTACTTTGCATCAGTGTTTATAAGACACATTTGTGAAATATTAAAATGTCACATTGTTTATTAAACACCAGTACATCCTTCATTCAGTCCGTCTCTCCCTCCTGACGTCTCTCTGTGGTCTCTCTCTCTCAGCTCCCGGCAGCCAGCCAATCACGTGCGAGGTCTCACGCCTCCTGTTTTTCTCTCACCTCGCCTCAACGCCAATCAGACCGCTCGCACCGCGCGCATGCCACGCCACGCCGCCACGAGCGCCGCCAACAGCGGGAGACACAGCGGAGGGCACGAGCCGACACACTCACACTCTCTCTCACACACACACACACACACACACACTCACACTCACACACACACACACACACACACACACACACACACACACACTCCCCTCTCCGTTACATCAACATCAGCGTGGCGTGTACCCCCTGCCACCACCCTCCCTTCACTCTGTCGCGAGAACAACGCACGTATCCGTTCATAACCTCCGCCATTATTCATCATCCCCCCTCCTCCTCCTCCTCCTCCCCCTCCTCCTTCTCCTTTCTTCCCATGGTGATGTTTTTTCTTTCCTCGAGCTCGTCTCTTTTCCCGCCCCTGCAGCGTCTCCACAGAGCCGCCTCCCTCTCGCCTCGACCTGCCTAATTTAACGCCTCTCCCTCTCTCTCCCCTACTCGCGCTCGCTCGTGCCAAGCCCAGGTGATTATCCATCCGCCCCCCGTTATCCGTTACCCCCCCCCCCCCCCACCCCTCCTCTTCCTCTCTCTCTCTCTCTCTCTGTCTCCTTCCCCGCCAGCCATGATCCGTGGCGGGCTAATTCCCAGACGGTCTTCTTCTTCTTCCTCTTCTCCTCCTTCCTCCTCTTCTCCTCATCACCCTCTCCCTCTTCCTCCTCCTCCTCCGCCTCCTCCTCCTCCTCCTCCTCGCGGGCCCGGTAAGTAGCAGCAGCACGCGCCGTCCATCTTCTCGTTTTCTCCTCCTCTCTGTCGGACTGCATGCTGTGTTCACGGTATTTATCGGTTGTTATCGGGTCTGGCTTTTTTTTTTTTTTTTTTTTTTTTGATTGACCCCCTTCCCTCCCTCCCTCCCTCCCTCTCTCCCTCCTTCCTCAGCTTCCTCGCAATGTGCCTAAGGGGGGAGGAGGAGGAGTGATGGTGGTGGGGGGGGGTGGTGCTGGTTAATGTGTCGCGTGGGAGAGCCGTTTTCCCCTCGCGGCCGGTGGCCACCGTGACCTTCTGTCGGAGCTCGCGCCGGCCCGGTTGACCAGACAGGGTAATTAGTTACGCCTCGAGGGAGGAGGGGGAGGGGGTGCGATGGAAGGAGGAGGAGGAGGTGGTGGTGGGGGGGCGCCAGAAGACACACACACATTTTCACACTGGCTGCGCTCATGCACACACGCGCACATCACACAGACACAATCTCTTCTCAGAGCGGCACACGTTTTGTTTCTGCTACAAATACACACACACACACACACACACACACACACACACACACACACACTTTCTGCTTCCTTCTCTGGCACACACACATTTCACCCTCGTTCACACATCTCTTTTTCAGTCTGTTTGTTGTGCACACACACATTCACAAAGGCAGCGAGTGCTTCACAGTCACATTAGTCACTGTGTGTGGGTGTACGCGCACGCGAAGGTCAGAGGTCAGAGGTCAGCGTGGCAAAGGTCTCAGATCAGATGCAACAGTGTGATAACCATCCTCTCAGGTATTTACATTTACAGAGTCACAGAAGTTTCCCTCCGTTCCTCTCTGACGTCACCTCCACCTGGACGCAGGTTGTGGACGTCAACCTGTCTGCGCTCAGAGTTTGATCTAGTTCAACTGTGACCTCGAAACCTGGCGGAGAATCAGAAATAATGACCGCGCTTCAATCGACGAGGAGGGAGAAAAGGAGCAGAGTAACCCAGTTAGAAACTCTTAATTAAATCAATTAGCTTTTATATAAAAGGAGGTATGTCTCAGTGTTGCACCTCCTCTTCTCCTTTTTTGTTTCTGCCTTTAGTTTTCATTGTCGCGACAGGAAGTTGTGCGGCCCGTGATGCCAGTCGGCTTTTGTTCAGGAGTCTTTTGTTGTTGTTGTAAGTTTTGTGGGTTTGACTTTGGACTGAAGGTGAACGTAGCACAGATTCATTAGATATCAATAACTCATCTTTGCAGGTTTAAGGGATAGTTTGGATTTTTTTGTTGCGGAGTTGTTTGAGGCACTCATGGAGGTGTGCAGTTTGGAGAAGCAGACAGGAGCACTGCCACAGAAGCTGAGCAATGTACTGCTGTGGACAGGGGCAGCAGCAAAACGTGTTTTAGCCACCTTAAAGAATCAATGTCGGTTTAAGTGTTCACTGTATTCAGAGTATATTCACTGCTTTATCTTTCTGTCAGACAGCCCTCTCCAACGGGGAAGTCCTTTCTCATTTATGCTTTCATCAAAAACACCAGACTCCATCAGTAGTTTTAGCTCTCTGAACACGGGAGCTGTTGGTCTACCGCTGCTTCAATCAGCTAGTTAGTTTGTGTTGTTGGTGAATACTTCAGTGAATCTGAACGAAACCCTTTAAAACACCAGTCACACAGTAACCAACCTGTTCTTATCCCAAGTCGTCACATATCGCTGCTTGGTCTGTGCCGTTCATGTCTACATATTACTTGCTATCCTCCTGCGTTTGTTATTGACGCTCCAGGACATCATTGCAATTTCTGCCGTGCAACAAAAGCACGCGGTTAGGTTACGAAAAACATCACAATTTGGCTCAACATTCGTACAGGAAGCAAACATCCGGCTCCCAGATGAAAGTCTGGGGTTTGTTGGACCCATCCACTACCCCTCGCACCCGTCCTATAGGGACTTTCCAGCTCCTTATATGACATCGTTACCGTCAGCGTTTCAAACTGACACCACTTTTAGTGTTGGTGTCTGACGTCGAAGTCACTGACGAAGTGGTGGTATTTTACAACTGCAACAGAAAAAACTAAGTGATGGAGGCAGCGGTAAATCAGCAGCTCCTGTAGTCAGCCTAGTAAAATTTCTCACTGGGGTCTGGCTGTGAAGAGAGCGATATAACGGCTTCAGCTCCTCAAGGAAAGGGCTGTCTGATGGCAAGATAAAGAGGTGAAAATACCCTCAATATATCGTACACTTTAACTGATACTGATATTTTTTAATGTGGCTAAAATACGTTGCTATTGACCCGGTCAACAGCTGTGCATTGTTTAGGTTCTGTGGTGGTACGCCTGTCTGCTTCTCCAAACTGGGGGCATGTCAACCGACATTGAAGGGAGACGTGCCATCGTAGCATTTGCTTTGATTGTGACTTAAATTTAAACGTTTAAAGATTTTTCCTCAGACATCAAAGAAGAAGAGATGAAGCTGATTGAATACAGAGTGGAGAGGATAAAACTTAAACTGTAAAAAAGGATGATACCTCGCATGATAGGAAATCTCCGTGACAGTCGCAAATCTAGCAAGTCAACAATAAAAATGATGCAGAATGATAAAAATCTACTTTAATTTCTAATTTCATTTCTCTGTTTTTGTTCACAGAGCAAAACGTGTCGACCACACAGGACCAGCTGTGAGCGAGGGTGAGGTCATGTCAGGCATGACGAGCGGCGTGTGCGTGGAGAGCGACCTCTCCTCAATGCTCCAGAGAAGCTCCGCCCCCTCCCACCATCACCCGAATCACCATGGTTACGGTGGACAGGGACAGGTGAGTTGTCATTTGATTTTTTAACGTTGGAGTGAGTGTTAGGCGTCGATGTGGCTCAAAGGGAGGTTCGAGGGAAATCTGATGACCTCACAGAAACATGTCCAAGTTCAGCAAAGAAGAGCTCATATGAACGCTCACTGTTTATGTTACTCAACAGTCGTTGTATTTGGGTAGAGTTTTTAACTAAACTGCCACAATCTCCTGTTCCTCAGAAAATAAAGAGTTATTCAGTCATTTTTACAACAGAACCAGGTACCAACAAATGAACCAGGTACCAACAAATGAACCAGGTACCAAAAAAGTACCAGGTACCAAAAAGAACCAAGCATCAGAGAAAACAAGGTACCAGAAAAGTGAGGTACCAAAAAAAGTACCAGGTACCAAAAAGAACATACAAGGTACCAAAAAGGAACCAGGCACCAGAAAGAACCAGGTACCACAAAAAAAACATACGAGGTACCAAAAAAGGAACCAGTCACCAGAAAGAACCAGGTTCCAAAAAAACATACCAGGTACCAAAAAAACATACCAGGTACCAAAAAAACATACTAGGTACCAAAAAAAAACAAAACATACGAGGTACCAAAAAAACATACCAGGTACCAAAAAAGGAACCAGTCACCAGAAAGAACCAGGTTCCAAAAAAACATACTAGGTACCAGAAAATAACATACTAGGTACCAGAAAAGAACCAAGCACCAGAAAGAACCAGGTACCAAAATAGAACCAGGCACCAAAAAGAACCAGGTACCAATAAAGACCCAGGTACCAAAAAGAACCAGGTAGCAATAAAGACCCAGGTACCAAAAAGAACCAGGAACTGTCCACAGCTTTCATTAATTCATTCATTTCCGTAACCGCTTGGGGGTCATGGGGATGCTGGAGCCTATCCCAGCTGACACTGGGTGAGAGGCGGGGTTCACCCTGGACAGGTCGCCAGACTATCACAGGGCTGACACATAGAGACAGACAACCATTCACACTCACATTCACACCTATGGACAATTTAGAGTCACCAATTAACCTGCATGTCTTTGGACTGTGGGAGGAAGCTGGAGCACCTGGAGGAAACCCACACTGACACAGGGAGAACATGTCAGAGCACCTGGAGGAAACCCACGCTGACACGGGGAGAACATGTCAGAGCACCTGGAGGAAACCCATGCTGAGAACATGCATATTCCGCATGGAAGGGCTCCCTCCCGAGTTTGAACCAGGAACCTTCTTGCTGTGAGGCGACAGTGCTAACCATTACATCACTGCGGCGCACTATCCACAACTTTGCTAAAGGAAAACCAAAAAGATGTCATATCACAAAGAGACGTTTGTTGTATATTGTTTGCTTTTTCTCTCTCGTCATTTCTCTAATAACGCTCTAAAATCCATCAGGGTCAGATCGTATATCTTACCAGGCTGCATGTCAATATTATGATTTATTGAAGGCAGCAATAATCGGTGCTACCAGCTGACAAACCTGGTTTTAGTTCAGTTTTTTTTTTAAAGGAAGTTGGATCAGATTTTGGCAAGAATTCCTGGGAAAAACCAGAATATGAATTTTTCAGTATGGCAGCACAGCTGGATTCACAGGTGTTGTGAACATTCCTGCTCTGTTCTCTGTTACCTCAACAGGTGCTGAGATTTCAAGCTCTGTTAAAAAGTACAGGTTGGACCTTTGGGACCGGCCCCAAGGCCTGGATATCACTTAAAAAATGTATGATACTAGTTCCCTCAAAGTGACTCTGATACACAACTCCATCTGTTACCTTTTTTTTCCTTTTCATTAAACATCCACAATGTGATTAGAAGCATTCAGTTGCATGAAATGCCACCAGACGCCAAAGGTCTGTTGTATCGCCATACTTTTGCAGGTTTTGGTGGCATCTCGTCAAACTGAACTGCCAACTTGGTCAAATACACCACACCCAAGTTTACCACACCACAAGCTGTTTGGGTCGTACCTGCTGCCTGAGTGGGCTGAGTGGGGAAAAGGATCGAATGTAGGAATCTTTTGACCAGAGCCGTTTCGGTTCTTCTTGGCACCAGGTTATTTCGGTTGATACGTTGAAGGTATTGAGTACTGATACGCACTTCTATTGGCACCAACATTACATCTGTGTGTATTGATTCAGTATTGTATTTGTATATTGATCTTTGTGGATGATGATGATGATGATGACGACAGTGTGCCTTGCAGGTGTCCAGTTTGGCTCCGATGCTGGACTACACCACAGAGATGGACCGCTACCGTTCGTCCATCGCCAGCTTCTACAAAACCAATGTCAACATGAACATGAACGTCACAAACTTCCCTCAGTCTGCCAAGCTGGCGGCCCGTTTGGCGGCCGCCGCCCCCATTTTCCCCCCCGCTGCTGCCAGGCTGGGCGCCATGGCGACGGCGCCCTGGGGTTGCCACGACAATATGAACATGAACGTGAACATGAACCACCCGGCGGCCATGTTCTGGGGCCGGCCCAAACCTGCCCCAACGCATCACCATCACCACCACCCTCACCATCACCCCTCGGCGACACCAGGGCACATGACCTCGTCACACCCCCACAGTACCAGCATGCACCAGGGCGGCGGGGGGTCAGGAGGGGGAGGAGGGGGCGGAGGGGGCGGTGAGGGGGGAGGAGCTGAAAAACATGGACATACTGCCGCCTCACTTCCTGTCACACAGGGAACAGCACACCATCACCCCATGACACCTAGCAACGGGAACTTCCTCCCTGGTTATGGCGGCGGGGCGGACTGTGGTGTCATGAACAAACAGGGACACACCCACCCGGACATGATGGGCCTATCAGAGAGCGCAAGCTGCAATGGTGGAGGGGTGATGGGTAGTAGCTTCCTGGGGGGGCTGGGATTACCCCCCGGGGTCATTGTAATGGCGATGGGGTCAGCGGGGGGTGGAATCTCAGACGCTGGCAGCGCCTTCCAGATGACCAGCAGCCAGCGGGCGCTAACGGACTGCCAGCAGCACGCCAACTCCTCCCCCTGCCCTTCGTCCTCCTCGCCATCATCGTCAGGTGTGACGACCGGGGGCGTGGCCCTGTCATCGTCCACATCGTCTTCGTCATCTGGAGCCGTAGCCAAGAGGAAGAGGAAGCGGTGCGGCGTGTGCGGGCCGTGCAGGCGGCTGATCAACTGCGGCGTCTGCTCGTCGTGCCGCAACAGGAAGACGGGTCACCAGATCTGCAAGTTCAGGAAGTGCGAAGAGCTGAAGAAGAAGCCAGGGGGAGGAGGGGGGCCGCTGGAGGTGAGGCCGCACGCACAGGAAACACACTCACAGGAAGAGCGCGTTTGTGTGTGCGTCTGTGTGTGCGTCTGTGAATGTGTGTGTGTCCTGGCTCACTTAACCCAGATGACTGCCAGCGAGGCGCGAGCTGGAAGGCATCGCTCATCCTGCTGAGTGTGTGTGTGTGTGAACGCTGTGCAGATGGTGGGTGGTGAAAAGCGAGCGCTCGGTCCCTGCTGAGGTCTGGCAGCCTGCCAACACACACACACACACACACACACACACACTCTCTCTCCACTGATTCACAGTGATAAAACGAGTGACTGAGAGAGAAAGGAGAATATTTGTTATCTACTGTGTGTGTGTGTGTGTGTGTGTGTGTGTGCAGTAAGAATTAGTGGCGATCAATAATTCATTGACACCAGCGTTCGACCTCACTGATGACTCTATATATATCACACACACACACACACACACACACACACACACACACATGCTCTCCCTGTGGGAATCTCCACAAACTCTCACTAATTATTCCCTCAGCATCAACACACACATGTGGCATGAACACACATCTCGAAACATGGTGTGTGTGTGTGTGTGTGTGTGTGTGTGTGTGTGTGTGTGTGTGTGAGAGACAGTGAATTAGCCACCATAATCTCCCTCAATTACACACTAATTGGACCTGTGGAGGCTAGCGGCAAGTGACAGCACTGTGTGTGTTTGCGTGCGCGTGCATGTGTGTGTGTGTTATACTGTATGTGAATGTATGCATCTGAGTGCATCACACTGTGTTCGGGGTGTGTGTGTGTGTGTGTGCGTGTGTGTGTGTGTGTGTGTGTGTGTGTTAGCAGGTGGTTTCACGCTCTTGCCTCATCCCTCTTCCGTCCTCTTTGATGTCGACCTGACAGCCAATCACAAAGTTTGTGAAATGAGCAGCAAAGCCCTCTGGGTGTTTTTTTTAAACAAGTTAAAGTTATGTTTTATAGGACACCTTGTCTCTGACTGACCCCTGACTCTTTAAAGTGAAATCCAGACGTTTAAAGGAACACTCCACCACAGTTTTCTTTCATAGCTGTACATAGAAAACTTCCCACATTGATAAGCTTCAATTTGAGTCCTTGACACTTGCTTTGGCCTAAATTTGGCACTCTTGCGTGATTAGTTTTTCAGTTGTAACACGGTATGTAACTAGTGCACATACAGTTTTTTGCAGATAATTTTGGGCGCACTTGTGTTTTAAAACCTGTTCCAGGACTCTTTTTCTACCTGTGGAAGTACTAATGTTGATACAAGACTTTTTCTTTTAATTCTCATTTTTGATGATAATTTGTCAAATGGACGTTTTTTTTTTTTTGTGGTGCTACTTTCACCTTTTTTAATTATAATAATCTAATAATACAGTAATATAATATGTATCATAATATGTATTAATGTGCATAATTGGAAGCTTTACTTCAAGCAAATTTTGATGCAAAAACTTTTGTACTTTTTCTTTTGTATGCAGGACTTTCACTTGTAACAGAGTACTTCTACAGTGTGGTACTACTGTTTTTACTTCACTTAAACATCTGAGTACTTCTTCCACTGAGGGCCGATCACACAGAAATGAGACGCTAGAGACGCGGATGCTTCAAAGACGCTTGAAACGCTGGAAGCGCTTATTCAATGCGTGCTAGGTACTGGCGTCTGACGCTCAAAAAGTTGAAAATATTTTAACTTTTCAGCGTCTACGCGCGTCTAAGGGAGCGATCACAGAGATGAAACGCTAGAAATGCAACGCCAGTAAAACCATTGTTTTCCTATGATACGGCGCGTCTAACCAGCGTTCAAGCGTCTTTTTAGATGCATGTTTTTGTAGATGCTGAAAAGTTAAAATATTTTCAACTTTTTTGAGCGTCAGACGCCAGTAGCTAGCGCCTATTGAATAAGCGCTTCCAGAGTTTCAAGCGTCTTTGAAGCGTCCGCATCTCTAGCGTCTCATTTCTGTGTGATCACCCCCTTACTGCAACCCATCAATTGATTCGTGTCAAATAACCCAACTCAGCACAACAGGGCAGCATGAACATCCATTCAGGGTCTGAGCTGAGGTTAGCACCTACCACTGCCAAATGGGGGTAAACTATTGGCAGTGGCGTGTAAAATTGTCGGCCCTCTGACACTTTACTGGACGGAGTAAAGGCACAACAGAAACACGTAACTGCTATATGAATGTAACGCTATTGGCTGTAGAACCCTCTTTGTTTTTATTGACCGTGGGTAAATTGTTGGCAGTGGCGTGTAAAATCGTTGGGCCATTTGACACTCTGGCGGACAAAGAAAAGGCACAACGAAAACACATGTCGTAACTGCTATATGAAAGCAACGCTACTGGCCATAGAACCCTGTTTGTTTTGATTGAGAGCGAGTAAATTGTTGGCAGTGGCTATACAATCATAGGGCCATCCGAGACTTTGGCCGTCAGAAAAAAGCGCAACAGAAAGACACTTCATAACTGCTTCATAAAAGTAACGCTAGCAGTCATCTTGACTGACGGTTGGAGTTCGCAGAATTCTAACCAATAACCATCAACAAAAAGATGCACATATATACTGTACACGCCCACTTGTTACTGTATCAGCTTCATTACCTCACATGTCAGATTCTAGGCGTAGTGAATGTGTGACGGTGGATGCACTCAGAGCAGACGAGTGTTGGCGAACAAAGCATGAGGAAAGTTAGCAGTGAAGTTGTGAAGAGGTTGTAAATGTACAGTATGAAGTCAGTTTGTTCATGAATGAACGCTGCAGCTAGTCAAGACCAACTTCCTGTTCTGCTTTCCAACATTGGTGGGTGTGTTCATGTATGCGTGTGCATGTGTACAGTACCCTCTCAGTCCCAAAAAACAGGGTTCCCCTTGAAGCCATGGCAGAATTCGACCACTGAAATTTACCAGCAGTGGAAGTACTCACATTAGTGAGGGATGATAAAGGAATATGTGTTTAAGTTTATTTTGCTTTTCAATAGCCAGACACTATCTATTAATATTCCTCTAGTGCCATCAACAGGTCATGTACATTTCTCTCTCTCACTTCTTTTTTGTCTCTTATTCTTAGCGGCCGCCCTCTGTCCCGACCGGCGAGGCATTTCGTTGGTTCTTCTAGCCTTCCCTTCGCCAACAGAGTCGCAGCTCGAGGCCCAACAGGAAGTCACCAACACATATGGACCATAAATCCAGCTTGGATGAATTTAAAAACAAGGACTACAACTTCTGGATTTGAACCAGACACTTTGCAACAGGATTACAATTTCATACTGTGTGTATGACTGTGCAAGACTACAAATCCCACCTCAACTGGAACAGGGAACCAGCTAGGAGGGCAGAGGTAGAGGGAACAGTTTGGTCACAGCCAACAGGGATTGACCAATCAGAATTTGTTGTTGATGATGTCATAATTGTCATGTTTTCCTGAACTTGTTTGCAGGTAAAAACTCAGCCCTCAGATAGATGCGCACAGGTTTTCTCAACTCTAGAAATGTTGTTTTTGCACGTTAGCACCACATAACGCTACAGTTAGCGTCAAGTCTAGTTGGCGGGTTTGAGAACAGGCCGAATTAAGTAGCTACCTAGCTAAACTGTGAAAAATAGTGCCATCCTGAGATCCGTCGCTCGATGGGAGACAAGTGTGTCGCGGTTTGAAAGAGTTCAAGAGGCACAAACTCCTCATCCCTGAATCCATGCCTGACATCTACTGGTGAAATCAGAGCATTGTATTTGATTGGCTGGTCCTTGGAGTCGAATATGTAATGTTTTATAGACATCTGGTCACTCCACATGGTACCAAAGATCAGCCAGTAACAGAAGGACTGTTCTTTAGCTACTTGTCACCAGTGGATGTCAGATTTGAAAAAGAAGGATGGTAAAAGTTTGGGTTTGTGTGACCGCTCTGTGCTGGTAAAGACGGGGCAGCATCGATAACAAACTACAGCCCTAAACATGAACCTGAACATGACGTTTACCTCAGCCTGATTATGTAGCTTATGTAGCCTTGATGGATCCACAGAGTCCAGTCGTTTGGTCACGCTGAAGGTGACAGGATCACCAAGTCAAGTTTTATTCACGCTACTGAACATTATGTAGTCCTATCCAAATCTCTTGTAACTGGAGGAGTCAACAAATAAAAGTCAACAGGATGTGAAACAGTGCCAATGGTTTGTACACAAATGTTGTATTCATCTCATGTCAACATTGCGAGATAGGGCACTTGGCCTTGTTGGAAGTCTGCACTCTCTAATTGCTCTTCTACTTAATAAAGATTTAGGTAAATATAAGTATCCCATCTGACTCAGTATCGGCAGATACCCAATATTGCAAGACTTAGATCAGGGCCAGAAAAACATGATTGGGATATCCCTACTAATGACCTGTTTCTGATGTGTAAATAATGTGCACATCAACAACTAAGTGAGAATTCTGACTTGGAAGGAATTTTTTTTTCGGAAAGCTCGGGTTAATCTGACTTGGCACTGAAAACCAAACAAAAATAAAGCATTTTTCTATGTCTGGAAAGCTCTGAACACACCTTTATCACAAGCCCTTAATGTCACGTTCAGGTTATATTGGATATGTCCGAGCCGATCCTAAGGATCAGTATCAGGGGATGATCCAGGCATATTTTTATTGGATCGGTGCCAGATGAAAAGGATCAAAATCTAATTCGTCTTTAACTGAACTCTACTCTTGTTTGGATCAAGTAGCTGTGTATTAAATTTAGTAGCTAAAGCTGTTATTTCTGTTTATGTGTCAGATACATATTTACTTACGCCTTTTGGTTTGGTTCGGTCTGTTCGGCAGCAGTATTATGGGAAAACTAGTGGTCTGATTTTCATGAAACCTGGTGGAAGGGTGTACCATGCGCAGAGTGAGGGCCCATTATCTTTTGCAGCAGATCCGAATCACAGCGCAGATACACACATTTTTTTCCACTTGTGTTAATATTTCGAGATAAGTCTGCGCCCTTCAAGTGCCATTCCGGTTAATCAAGAATTAGGTAAATGAAAACCAAACAACAGACGTCTCCTGTCAGCAAAAGCCCATCACTCAAGGTGATCTACTGTTATATTCCCAATGCTCAGTATTGTTAACCCTTTCACAACCAACTCCGCAATCAACTGTCTTGAGTTGACTAATGAAGTCGTAAACATAATAATGTTTCCACCTCTACCATCTGTCCCAGATGTCATACAAGTGGTATTTAGCTTGTATCCTCTCTGACAACCTTCACCATCTGTGATCAAACTGTCTCCTCCTTCCTCTTCTTCCTCCTCCTCCTAGCAAACCACAAACCCCATCGTAGCCAAACCAGGAAGATTCAGGCGCCAAGTGGACCACTGCTATCACCACAGAAACTATTACAGTTTGACCAAAACCGGACGACAAGTTAACCTCAAAGGAAAAAACTTTACCGCAGAGGGAGTACAAACTGACCTCGGCAGGAAGTGATCCAGGACTGTTATTAAGGACTACAACTTCACCACAGTAGGACTACAATTACCACATCACTGTTATCTGTCTCTTCTGTCTACCTCCTCCTCAAGAACTTAAAAGGCACCTTGATTGATTTTTACTGGGCTGTGTTCCTGCTGGTACGACTTGATCTGCTTCTCAACTCTCTCGATGGTCCAGAGCTGATCCCCTTCTCATGGAATCTGGTGTTTCAGAATTTATTTATCAATTTACTCCTCTGCCTGAAGGAGCAGTTGAACGTCTGATTTTGTTTTATCTGTCTGGATTTCAATGGAATGTTCTCAGGGCGCAGTCATACTTCCAGATGGTTTTATATGAACTAAAGCAGACTGGAAAAACTCACTTTGTTGTATTTTTGTATTTGTGTAAGTGGTTGCAGTTGAAGGTTCGTCATTTCTGTCTCCACAAAGAACAGTGTAAAGGGTTTCACTTTGAATATTGGCTCTAAATTGGCACCTCTGGTCCCAAACGTTCAGAGTTGTATTGGCCAAACCTTCACCAGGACCTCACAGAGAGTTCAGAACCAGTTTCTATGTTCTTGTATCAATGCAGACTGTACCACATGGTGACCAACAGGAAACAGGAGAATCCACCTGCAGTTTAAATGCAGTGTGGGAACTCACAGGGAACCTCTGGATCTTTTGGGAAGCCTCTGAGCTGAACCCTGGGACTAAAAGGAACCGAACTGAACTGAGCGAGATCAGATCAGAACATTCCACACTAAAAACATGTAATTTCCAGCACGTCTGTGGGCCTACCTCTGAGATAACACCCCAACATGTCCTGTGGTACCTTTTTAAATATACAAAGATGTTCAGTCTAAAATTCCGTTCTTAAAAACGCAAAAAGTCTTCCCTCAATAAATGATAGCCAGCATGAATATGCAATGTTCCTGAGCAGCCCAGTCACAGGAGACAGTTGGCATTTTATGTTTCTGCAAACCACCAACAGGTTACATTTGTACACTCCATACATATCATATCAACGTTGTGGTGCCAAAACTGGGTGTTTTTTTAGCAAGACACAGTTTTATAGCAGGAATTGTGTCCCTAAATCAGGCTATGTTTTAGTGAGACATCGGCAGAATTTCTAACGGTGCTTGTGGCACCAAAACTGGGTTATTTTCTCATGAGACATTGTGGTTTTTCCAACAGCAACCGTGGTGCCAAAACTTGATGTTTCATATCAAGACATCTGCAGCATTTCCAGCAGCGATTGTGCCACCAAAACTGAGCATTTTGTAGTCAGACACCATGATATTTCGAGCAGCGATTGTGGCCCCATAACTGGGTGTTTTCTCTCGATACCTTGCGGTATTTCCAGCTGCAACTGTGACATCAAAACTGGGTGTTTTTTGTCAAGACATCGGCAACATGTCCAGCAGCGATTATGCCACTAAAACTGTGTTTGGTGAGACACTGGCACAATTACAGCCGTGATTGTGTCACCAAAACCAAACAGGGTATTTTAAGCCAAAACATATTCGCTTTATAATAACATATAAATGTTAACAGTAGTCAGTGGTTTGCAAAAACGTACAACATCATCATTTTTTCTGGTGATTTGGTTGTCTGGAGACCTTTACATATAACCTGAAGCTCCTAACAAGTCCTAGGCTGAACAGGGATGCCGTAAAACTGACTACGACTGCTATTCAAACTATTTCACTTGGACTTGCTCCAGATTTCTGTCAGTTTGACGAGGATGTAATGTTCAGTTTGGAAAAATTTCCTCTAAAATTCTTATTATATATAAGGTTATAATAAGTAAGATTACATTGCTCCCCCTAGTGGCAGTGAAGTGTAGTGATCCACAGACCTCGGTGTAAATAGTTTTTACTGGGAAGAAATGGTCCCACTGAAAACTGTTGAGTCAGGTCTGTGGTTGTCCCGAGAAACCAGGACGTAGTTTCTGGAAAACTGGACATTGCTGATTTGGTTTTTATGTTAACAAACTGGATGGACTTCCATGAAATTTGGTTTAGACGTTCATGGTCCCCAGAGGATGAATCCTAGTGACTTTGTTGATCCCCATCTTTACATCTGGAGCCACCAGCAGGTCAAAGTTTTCACAAAAATCTCTCCACATCTACGAGATCGACTGCCGCAAAATCTGACATTCACATTCCCTGCAGGCTGAACCTCGACGATGTTGATCCACCGACATCTCAGTTGGCACCGTCACTGTGTCAGAGCGTCTGCGCTCACAGACGTGTTGGAAATGTTTTATTTTAATTTGTTTCTTTTATTTTTGGGTATCATGAGGAAAACGTTCCCCTGCCTCTCCGTGGGAACTGAAACCAAACGTCTCCTTTCTCTCAGGGTGGGTTGAGAGGGAGGAAGGGGACGTTTGTTTTGCGTGTCTGTCCGTCCTCCTCCTCCTCATGTATTCTGTCTCTGTGACCTCCTCATGTGCTGAATTGTAATAAAGCATTTCAAAGATGAGCTGCAGAGTGTGATAGACGCACACTGGAGGAATATGGATGTCAGGTGATTGCATCATGCTAAACCGTGCGTGTGTGTATGTGCGTGTGAGACGAGAGAGAGCAGGCATGAAAATGAACAATATGTTTTTGTGTTTGTGTGAAAATGTGCCGCCACAAGATGGAAGCTGTGTGTGTGTGTGTGTGTGTGTGTGTGTGTGTGTGTGTGTGTGTGTGTGGGCTTGTCATCTCAGTAATGGTGTTGGTATCAGAGAGAGAGAGAGAGAGAGAGAGAAAGACTGGTTGTCCCTGACGACGGTGCGCCGTGTTGCCTGGCAACAGCGCTAACAATGGCCCACCACCAGTGTTCTAGAATGTGGGCGTGGCCTGATAGAGCGGGAGAAAAAAGGGAGGTGGGGGGGCTGTTCTCTCTCAGCAGAGTTTCAACCCGTCAGTTCTGACAAAACCAGCGGAGACGTAAATGATTGATGTTTTGTCATAATGTGACATAAATCTGCAGATAAAGTTGCTTTAATTCATCTAAACAAACAAACAAACAAACAAACACAGAGATGAAACACAGTAACGCCTCCTTTTATGGGCGCATAATTTCCTCTGAAATGTAATTTAGGGAAAATAATGACAATGTTGAACTGGAACACTTTAATAAATTCTTAAAAAAAAAAATTCAAAAAGTTGAATTGTTTCACGTCAACCTAGGAAAAGCACTGTGACAATCAGATATTAAGTGTGTCGACAATCTGTGTAAATATGTAATCTGTAAATTTTGAATAAATAAAGATTTGTAAACTCAAAAAACTATTTTGCAATCATAAACAGATCCGCTAACAAACAAATTGAAAAAAAAAGACGTAGGATTGAGATTCACAAATAAAAACTGGTTTCACAAATATCTATTTAAAAGTTAGAAAGATAACAAATGATTTTCACTTATTTGTGAATTAATTAAATGTATTCACAGAGATCGTTTCATTCGTGGAATTTGTGTTTTGCAGATCTGTCTTTTGAGTTTCCAAATCTTTTTTTGTATTTGTGGAAGTTGTTGAATATATTTACTGATCACACATTAACACACAGATTGTCAATCAGTTTCTTTAAGATAAGACCCAGGGGCAGAAGATACAGAGAAAACAAAATGGTCCCCAAAATAGAGCCCTGGGGGACTCCACAGGATAGGGGAGCAGGAGAAGATGTAGCCTCACCAATTTTGACAGTAAACGATCTCTGCAACAGATAGGATCTAAACCACTCTAGAGCAGTGCCCCTAATGCCTACACAATGTTCTAGGTGAGAAATAAGAATGGAGTGGTCAGCTGTATCGAACGCAGCGATGAGATCTAAAAGCAAAAGGATAGCAGAGTCACCAGAGTCAGTGGTTAGTAAAAGATCATTGAAAACTCTTAAAAGTGCAAATGTTAGCTATTCTATTGTGTACTTCTGTTTTCCAAAACTGTGAATAGACGAAGCCTGGACTAGCATACTGCAAATTATTTGATTTTGCATACTACCTAACATGCTGTATGCAGTACATATACCGCGTTCTATAGTATGTAGGAGGTGGTTTTGAATACAGTCCATTGTTCTTAATGTCCACTCTGGGTTTTGGGATGTCAGAGTCCACTGTCATGGCCTCCAGGTTGCCTCCACAAACCTTGGATGTATTAGAAGACCTGGATAGAGCGTTGGCGGCAGGACCCCGTTGATTCCCATGGAGTTGCTCAGTGGTGCATGAAGCCAAAAAAATCTGTTTTCGCATTACGTGGATGGTTGGCGCTGCCTCTGTATCACTGGACCCATAGAGCAGGTGCACTGCAGATTACAGCTGAGTGCGGCCGAGTAGCTGACCTATGGTTTAGCGCTCTGCTAGCTTGAATGTGGATAATGACAGACTTTCACAATGTTATTGGACCAAATGTCTTAAATCTTGATAGTGGAACAAGTTGTTTTGCGGGGGTTTGCAATGCTTAAAAAAAAAAATGTGACGGACCCTGGAAATTGCAGTACCACTGTTTGACCACTACGACTTACAACTTTGTGTGTCTTTCAGTGTGTCTCAAATCACATACTTCCGTTAGCACACTTCCATGTAGTATACTGTGTGCACTATGTACTCATTGGTGTAGTGCGTGAATTTCAACGGGGTAGTGTTGTCTCAAACCAAACACAGCCGATGTGCACTCACCAGAATGACGACCGCAAATTAGCTAGTTAGCAAACTAGCATTAGCATTCGCGTTATCGTTCGCAGTACCAAATCATTACAGACTGCTAACATACTGCTGGCTTACACCCGACTGCAGTATAGTGGTGCTTAGTGCAAAAAACACATGTATTTGTACAATGCAGCGACGTTCACAGTCGCACAGTCCTTGGCTGCCATTTCCAGTTTGAAAGGTGGCCCCTCCCCTTCCGCTACGTAGCCAAGATGGCGACCATTGCGGGTGAGAAGTGTCCATAGTTCCATACACAACTTCATGACCGTTTTGAGTGCACCATTCAGGTACTCACAGTGCACTGCATTTTTCCATACTTCTCAGTGTGAACACACTTAGGCACTCAAAATATTAAGTGTAAGTACAGAAGCACACGATTTGAGACACAGCATTTGTCTTCTCCACAACATGTTTTCAGGCCGAGGCCTCCTCAGCTGACAGAAAGACGGAGCAGGAACAGAATATTTTCAGGTGTTATCTCGTGTAGCTGCTCAATCAGCAGCCTGGTGTTCTTAGTGAAATGAAATCTCACAGAAAGTCTTATTCAGTGGGGGAAGTTTTCTTCCTTTATACTTCTCATGGAGTCGACTGTGAAACTTATTTGTGAGTGTCTGATGTCCCTCAGCCTGGTGAGGACAGTTTGTCCTGCTCTGTGTTGTCTCTGAGACGCTGTAACAGAGATCAGAGATCATGGTGACGTGGACCTAACTGGAGCTCAAACACCACTGACGTCTCATGTCCAGGTCAGTTTCTTTCTTTTTCATCATTGTACCCTTCACTGCGTCCGATCCCCCCTCGTCCTTTTCACTTTCTGTGACCGGAGTCAGGACTTGGCAGCGCTCCACCACACTGTGTCTGTTTAACAGCCATTTAATCGAACCCTGATAGTCTTAATTAGTGTGGAAGTGTGTCTCTGTGTCTCCCTCGAGACTCATTATCCCTCTTAGTTTTTCTTCTGAGGGCGAGAGACGAGGAGGAGGCGGAGGAGGAGGAGGAGGAGGCGGAGGAGGAAGGAGAAAGTGAAGGACATGGAGGAGGAAAAGAGAGAAGAAGGGAGACCATGAAGGAGCAGTGAGGAGGGGAAGAGCAAAAACCAGCTGACTGCTCCACCTGGTGGTGAGAAACACAAACTGCACCTAACAGATTTTACAATGTCTGAAATCCTAAATGTGTTTAAGGTGTATGAGCTTGACTTAATTTTTTAAAGCTAAATAACATAGCTACAGACGACTGACGCATATTTTAGTTGCCAAAATGCGAGAAAAACAAAATCTTTATTCAGCATATAGGCTACACATTTTTACAATTAAAGACAGACTCACTTTGGGCCTACAGCATCAATGAACAAACATTTAAATGTTGAAAAAACAACTTATTAATTTCCATATGTTTTTTTTTTCCACAAACTAAAATAAAAACATCACCTTTAAGGACTTCGGGGCTCCATAGTGAAGTGATTTCTACCAAAAAGATAAAAATGGACAAAGTAAAACTAAAATTATTCACATTTAAGGAGTGATTACGAGAGAATCTTTGGCATTTTGGTTTCAAAAATGATATGATTCTTGGTGACTATTTTTCTGTCAATGGACTAATCAATTTATGGAAATACACTTTGATCCAGATGTTCCGTTGATAACTGCTTAGAAAGATAAATCAAGTGTCCAACTGGAGAAGAATAAAGTTAATAATGGCTTACAAGTCATGAGCACATTTGAATTTATGGTATTTAACTGACAGCGGTACCAAGTTATTAGCAGACTAACAGAATCTGCACCCACAGATTTTAGGAATATAGATGCTTCTTGTAATTCAGGCAACTTTAAATCAAAGTTGTAGTGAGAAGAAATGTCAAAAATAAGATTAAATGTTGATAGTTTGTTCGCTCTGCCCCTTATTAAAGCTTCCGTTTTAACAGCTGTGTGTCCCACAGTTTGTTGACTCACTTTTTCATAAAATATTTAAATTTTTTGTTGAAGTGTTCAAGATTAAATCAAATTTCTGATTCAAAGTTTCCACTAAAATCTACGAAGGAGTTCTAGGTTTCATTCATTTTAGGTTTAAATGTATTGTGTGAGGTTGTTTTTGTTCAATAACAGTTGTTATCATAAATGAACACAAACAAAAACATTCCACAGATTTTCATTTTGGATCACTGCTGCAAAGAATTAAACAATTCGCAGATTCCGTTCAGGCCTAATTTTTTGCCATATCAGGATCTGGATTGACATACACACAAACAGCGTCTCACTTTCTGACCAAACTTTATTCTTTGATTCGTGAGGTTTTCCTACAGAACGTTTTACACTCACACACATTCACACACACACTTACATGTCCAACACACCAGGATGAAACTGCAGCTCCATCCAGACATTGACGGATATTTCCAATGTGACTGGACTTTGCATCTTACCTCCTGAATTCCTCAGAAGAAATCAAAAATCTTTTTTTTAAATCATCTTTTCGTCCTTGGTAATCAGATGATTTAATCACTAAAGAAGCTGTTTAAAACCTAATTTTAACAATTTGATTTATTCTATTGCTTCTTCAGTTGCAAACTAAAAATTGTTACATTAAAAATGTAAAAATATACGTCAGTACTTGAGACTGAATATATCGTTTTGTCCATGTCACATCTGAAAATAATTACTGAACAACGTTCTTCACACACAAACATACGGCATCAAACAGCATCATGATCTCCAGGATGAGGCGGCAGAAAGAGGTTACATCTTAATGAACACAATTTATCTTATAAACAAAAATAATAACAGGTTAAAAAAAAATCAGCAGTTCTTTCATCATATTTTCTTAATTAAGAATTCAAAACATTTAAATCTCTTTTCATTCCAGAAGTTTGTGTGTGTATGTGTATGTCCTACGTGGCAGAGTGCGTGTGTGTATTCCAGACGCTGCTGGCTGAGCGTTCGTCAATGGGCGACTTAGAGTCTGAGTGGGTGTCAATGGAGGCGTCAGAGTTCCATTGGTTGTCAACAGACTGGTGGGAAGATGTGATGACATATTCAGTGGGGAGCTGAAAGTCTCTCTGGGAGTTTTTTGGATGAGAGTCAATGGGGAGGTTATGTTTTGGGCAGGCGTCAATAGAGATCTGTGGGTTGGATCTGGAATCAAAGTGGTTGCGAGGTTTTGAATGAGAGTCGGTGAGGTTGAGAAGTTTTGAGTGGGATTCAACGGTAGGTTGGGACTGTGAGCTGCACTTTTTATGTGATGTGTGGAAGGTAGTGGAGGATAAGGCTGTGTGGTTCAAGTGTTCATCCATCATGGCGCGGACAGAGACAGAAGAATGTGCATTACCAGGTGGCACAGGATTTGTATGATGCAAATCAATGGGTGGCAGGTGACCATGGGGCGATCTCACCCCATGATTCACTATTGATGTTGCTTTGCTGTCCGTCAGTCTTTCTGAAGCTGCAGTGGAAGAGTGGAGGTCAACTCTGAATTTGGGACTACTAGGATGCACGTCAATGGGTGACAACCTGCCACTGGTAGCTGTTGTTGGCACTGAGCTAACTCTACAGGGTAGACGCCTTTCTGAAAAGTTCTCTCTCAAAGTGGACAGGTGAGAGTCAATGGGTGAGCAGAGATTCTGTGTCCTTGAATCAATGGATGAAACGAAAACAGGCAGTGATGTGTCATTAAAGTTGACTCCTGAGAAAACATCACCACCTCCCGGTGTCCCTTCAGCAGAAACACTGCTGGAAGGATGGGGATCAACGGGTGCTACCCGACTGGAATCTGAGCTCATAGTGTTACTCCTGGAGGTAGAGTCAGTGTGAGCTGGTTTCTCTCTGAACCAGCCAGTTTTGGCCAAATGGAAATCAATGGGAGATAAAGAATTTACAGGCTGCAAGTCAATGGGTGAAGATCTATGACCAGAGGAAGATATTTCCTTTGTGCTGTCACGACCGGAATGTACCTTTGAAGAATGAAAAGAACTGAAGCCCAGATGTGAAATGCAGTCAGCACTTGTGGAACTATTTTCCAACCCAGAAGAAGAATGGAAATCAATGGGATGTTTGTGACTCATGGAATGGATGCTGGCAGCTGATGCTCCACGTTTAGAAGGAGCAGTTGAATGGGAGTCAATGAGTGCTAGATGACAAGATGAATGCATGTCATCAGCTAAAATGCTGCTCGTAGATGCCGGCTCTCCTCTCTGTGCCATAGTGTTTGTGACATGTTGGTTCAGCGCTGAAATGCCAGGGATGGCCGGATTGTCTTTAGGCAGCTCAGCACCCAAACAGGAGTCAACAGAGGAGACAGTAGGATTTGAATTAAGATCAACATGAGAATTTACACCAACTGGGTCAGTGCCAACAGAGGTACAAGGTGAGTGCAAGTCAATGGGAGATATGGGTGACAGGTGTGGGCTTCCATGATCTTTGTGTTTTAATGGCGGTGGAGTATTTCTGTTGTATGACCTCACAGGACTTGCCCTTTTCAGGAGTGGAGGGGCGTCCTTGCCCTCCTCTCTGACCCTACACTCCTTAGGTTGCTCAAGAGGAGGTAGCGGGCGGATGGAGGTACGACATGTCGGCAAGTCAGAGCCCCGATTTTCGTCCACAAGATCATAAGACAGTCGCTTGTCAGACGAATCTGTATAAGGATATCTTGTCTCAGCCAACCAGTCGTCCTGGTTTGAGCGAGACTGACTGACCTCACACTGTTTCCTAAAACGCTTGTTTCTGGTTTCAGGTGAACAGCTGGGCTCAAAGTTCAGAGAAAGGTCACATTTAGGTGCAGTGATTCCCTTTAGGTCATTGAGGATGGTTGCTAGCAGATGGCTGTCAGAGGTCGACACCTCAGCGTCTCTTTTGCGGACCAGATTTGTTGATGTGGCAGCAGCATCGATCGCTCCTGTTGGCTGAGAGCCGCCCTCCACACCTCCTACTCCTGTCTGATTACCAGGAGCTGTTAACTTTGTATCAGCCGTTCTCATTTGTCCTTTATCCTCATCCAGTCCCAGCAGTGAACCACTCTCTTCAACGTTTTCCACGTCCACGTCATGATCACTGTTGTCAATGGCGATGGGACCTGCAGCCTCCGGTTGGTCCGCTGGCTCGGTCTCTGACCCATCAGACCCTCGGTCCAGGATGTCAACAGGAAGCTCACCAATTTCTGCATTCAAGGCTCCGCCCACACCAGCGGAATGCACCAACGGGAGAGGAGGAAGGTCTGAGAAGTCGACGGTCTGCTGGCTGCTGAGCGGACTGCTGCTGCTGCTGTGGTTGTTTTTGTTGTTGGCGTCGTCATGGCTGCTGTCGCTGTCGAGGGTGATGATAACCGGCGAGCTGCGACAGACGGACAGAATGTTAGCACTCTTTATCCAACATCACAGTGAACTGAATATCTTTGGTAATGTTACACGTTTTAACCAAATCGAACGTTTCCTAGAGTCAGTTAACGGTGATGAATTTGGCACTTGATTAGGGCCCTTGGAACCGACTGGTGCAAGGACTCGACTGAAATCACTCTGTTATTATTTCACAAAATGAATTGCTGCGTTGAGGGGCTAAAGGTGCTCAAAAACTTACAAAACTTTGTACGTGCATAAGAACTGATGAAAATTTTGATATTTTATGAATTTTGTGCTTGAATGCGACAAAATGTCTCGATAGCGAAATGTCTTGATTCAGCTATCAGCCCCTGCGTTATGTTTCACCTGTAACCCCTTTCCACCAAACTGGCTCTGGTTCTTGAAACCTTCGTTCTATCTAGGAAACCAGCCCACGTTTCTTTCAGCTTTGGGCGGAACCATTGTAGTCACCCTAAACCCAACAGGAAGTCAGCCATTTTGAATTCACTTTTTATTTTTTGGGGTATTTTCAGGTATTGTGTTTTGATGATGAACTCCGAGAGATTTCACTTGCCTTGATGATACCAAATTAAGAAGCTTTTAGGTTTTCGTTGAAGGGTGTGGCTATGGCGAGGCGTTGAAATTCTATTAGTGCTTTGCAAAGTCAAGGAAGGATCCTTAAAAGGCTGAATTTCAAGGATGTAATCGAATCCCGCCAGAGGACTGTTCCAATGTCAAGGACCCTTCGAATTCTACCAAGGACCGAGTCCTTCCTTCAGAAAACTTTCTTTAATGATACACACCTGGGCACTCACTGGCCTGTTCCAATGTGTGTTCACCGAATGCTAAGAAGGAGTATTGCCTAGCCTCTGTAGGACCCATCCAACCAAGGAAGCATCCTTGACTCTGGGAAGCACTGAATGTTTTGCCATGAAACAGAAAGTAGTTTGTAACTCTACTGCATGTGATCAAATCTGCCTCAAACTTCTCATGTCTGATTAGAGTAAATGCACAGCTGTGTCAACCAACATCCCGCCAGCAACCCCGTTGGCGGCGAGGTACGAGGGGGCGCTCATCGCTGCTTGCAGCTTTAATTCAAATTTACGACTGACATGCTGTACCTGCTATGTTGTGTGTTGCGGTGTCGTTTCCTGCGGCGTTTGCGTGCGGGGGATTGTGTCATGCTGGAGGTGATGGTGCCCTCGTAAATGATCTCCACGCTGGGACTCCGGTCTTCTCTGCTCCTCCTGCTGCTGCTGGAGGACAGACAGGAAACAGGTTTACACTTTTTGTTCATGACAGAAACGTCTACAATTTCACCTCAAAACAGAAACAGGAAGTGTCTCCTCTCACCTCTCTCCGACATCCCTCCTCTGCCTCTCTCTTCTCCTCCCCCCATCTCTCCCCTTCTTCCTCCTCTCCTTCACCCCCCGCTCCCTCCTCTTCTCCCTGCAGTGGCTGCTGCTCGGCCTCCAGGTGGGGTCCTTGTCATCGCTGTCCAGGTGGCGGCTCTTGTACTTCCTCTTCCCGCCTGGTTTTTCTCCATGGTGATTGTTGCTGGGGGAGAGCGAGGGCGTCTGCGCTGTCGGTGATGACGGCTGTGGGGAGGAGCAAAGGGGTGAGGAGGAGAAGGAACGGGAGGGTGAGGAGACGGAGGAGGTGAGAGGAGAAACCTGGGAACATGGGTACTCCCAGCTGGAGTCGTCTGGGCTAGGCGGCAGTGGTGAGCCTGACTCAATGCTGGAGTGAAATGGCGAGGGAGAGTGGTGACGCATCAACGCAGGATAAATGGAGCGGTTTGGGTTGTACAGGGTGCCGCTCTTCCTGAGCCGGTCGCCGCTCCTGTCCCGCCCTCTCCTCCTCCTTTTCTTCTTCCTCCTCTTCTCCCTCGTCACCTCGCTGCAGGACTTCCTGTCTCTCCAGCTCTCGCGTCGCAGCTCGCTCTCTCCAGGCGTCACCGGGCTGAGAGTGCACACAGAGTTTCTTCCCGAGCTGCCCGACCACGAGCGTGCATGTGAGCGGTGTTCGCCATCTTTCTCCTTTGGCTGGTCATCCTGCTCGCGGCTGCAGGCACCTGACGTAGAGGGGGGGATTGTGGGTAGGTAGGAGAGGGGAGGAGTGGTGGAGGGGAGGGAAGGAGGTTTCTCAGCTGCGTTCTCCTCCTCCTTCTTTTTCTCCTCCTCTTCCTCGGTGTCGGAGGAGAGCTGCACCAACTCAGGAGTCCGCTCCGCTATTGGCTTCTTGTATCCGACTATCAGACACTCCTCCTCCTCGTCCCGCTTCTCCCCGGCCTCCTCCTCATTGGCTGCCTCCTGTGGGGCAGGGCTAAAAGACAGCGAGGCGAGCGAACACGATGGCTCGGCGGTGGAGTACGAGGGTCCTGGAGTCTCATCGTCCCAGGCGGACAGACTGAGGCAGCTTCCTGCTTGGATGACATCATCGTGAGCGCCCCCCGCCCTCACCAGCTGCCTCTCCTCTGATCTTCCTCCCACCTGTCTCTCTTCTTCCTCGCCCTCTGATATGGCGATGACCGAGCTGCTCTCGCTGGAGCTGCTCGTGCCGTCCAGCTCCAAGGCAGCAGCCGGTGGCTCGTACACCGCCTGCAGGTCGTAGTTTTCCAGGCTGAGCGGCGAGCGGGCGAAGCTGACCAGTTCATGTAGAAAGTGGTCGGTGCGGGCCAACAGAAAAGGTCGCAGCTCTTCTTCTACGGTGGGCGTGTCCTCCAGGCCGTGGCGGGCAAGCCGTGCCATGATGATGCGCTGGACGATGTCGACGAGTGAACCGTGTGCACCATACAGCACCGTGAGCTCCCGCCGCAGCCAGGGGCGGAGTCTGTTCAGGTGGGTGGGGTTGCGGCGGAAGCTCTCTGCTGTGATGTCACGCTGCTGCTGCTGCCCCTGGTTACCATTGCCATTGATTCCGGCAACGCCACGAACCCGTATGCCGCTTCGGTAGAGAGCACGGCGGAAGGCCACTGTCTCGCGCTCCCTCAGCCGCCGCACAGTTCCACCTTCTCGCTGCAGCCGCTGCCTCGCCACCAGTCGGGTCATTAGCCGCCGTGATGCCCGGTCATTGGGGCCCACAGGTGCCACCGCTCCCCCGAGTCCCGTCAGCCCCTCAAATATCACGCCACGCTCCGCCAGATCAGCTCCTCCCCTAATCCTCTGCTCCTCCAGGTCCTCTCCCTCCTCACTGTCCTCTGCCACAACGGGAGAGACAGCGGGATGGTGAGGAAGAGGAGGGAGAGCCAGAGGAGGAGAGTCAAGGTACCACTCCCACACCCCCGACCTCCTGCCTCTCCCTCCCCTCTCCCTCCTCCGCCTCCTCGTGTTTGTCTCCCCGCTGTCTGGCCCTCTGTGCCTCCTCAGCATCAGCCTCATCTGGTGGTCGCTCCTCGCTGCCGAAGCCATCGCCGCCACCATCGCCACAGTGGCAGCGACGCTGCTGTTGGCGGGCGCCGGCCGCAGCGTGTACTCCTTGAAGTCGTCCTCAGCGCGGACGGAGTGCAGGATGGAGGCGAAGGGCTGCTTACAGAGCGGACACTCAGCCTTGTTGTGCGACCACTCCTGGATGCAGGGGAAGCAGAATCGGTGCAGGCAGCGGTCCAGGTACGCCAGGTTGTTGAAGCGGTCCAAGCAGATCGGACACTTGGAATCAGGCGATGCCTCCTCCGCCGCCATCACTGCCCGCGCTGAGGCCGAGGCAGAGGAGGAGGAGGGAGGAGGAGACGAGGAGGAGGAGGCGGCAGCAGCTGTGGTTGACGTGGTGGTTTTCCTCCTGCTGCTGCGACCACTGCTCTCTCGGCTCCTCTCCTCTTCCTCCTCTGGCTGACCGCCTCCTGCTGCGGCACCTGCGGCCGCATTGTCACGGCGACGCACTCGCAGCTTCATCCGTGTGGGCGCCATCACCTGAAAACACACAGGAGGAGGGATTAATGACTGACCAGCTGACAAATGTATCCTCGTTGTTGACTTTTGACTTCAGTTTTTTGGGGTTCAGCTTTAAAAACTACATTATGTTACTATATTTTAATGTCTCCAGATTATGTTTCCATACTTTTACCAAAGGAACAGTTTCAAAGCTGCACTCTTACTGTAACCGAGTATCCTCACAGTATGGTATTATTACTTTTACTGCAGTAAAGGATCTGAATACTTCTTCCCTCGCTGCTTTACTGCTCTTGTCTGAATCAACCACAATAAACACATTTATATTACACAGAATAATATGTATACAGTATATAGAGAAGATTAAAATGATCCAGCATGTTTTAACATCTGTTCACCAAACTCCATCAGCAAATTTGTCGTTTTAGTTTTGTCACAGAGCCAGTACAGTGACGCTCATGGTAGAAAATTAACTTTAAATTTCTAAGTATAAAACAACCTTGTCACTAATTCGGGGCAGAAATCATCAGTGTAACTGAGTATAGTTACTGTGTGCTGTTGGTATTGTTACTGCAGTAACGGATCAGAACTCTTCCGCCACAGAACAAGACTACATTACTGACATTGCTAGCTGCTAACAGACTAGCATGCTAACACATAGCTCTGTTAGCATTTAGCCAAGCGGCGGTTCAGATGTTCTGCTTGTGTCAAACTCAGTGTTTCTCACACCCCGCGGTGAGCACCGGCACCTGTGTGCCGTGATGTGCTCACACTGAGAAACGGAGCTCCGTTACAGACACAAAACACCGAAAGGTTGCTGTTAGCCTGTTAGCATGCTAGCACGGTTAGCTTTCCGGACCTGAGCAGCAGAAGTAGACTCCCCAGGTCGCTTCTCATCCGGGGTTTTTCTCCTCCTCCGGGCTGAAGTCCGCACCGTGAGCGGCATCCGCCGTCAGCGAGGACACCGGTGCACCGGGCTCCGCTGCTCTGATCCGTTTACACCGACACTCCCGTTAGAAACAGAGACATTTGTGTCGCTCGGACCGGAGCCCCACACAGCTGGAATGAGAAAGATGCCGCGGTGGATGATGGGACAGTTTTTTTGTTGAGCCAAAGATCGTCAATAAGGGAGAAACTCACTCATAGCATAACACATGAAACTATCCCAATGTAACGAAGTACTTTTACTCAAGTAGCCACAGAGTCGTAATTCAACTTCTGCTGCTTTATCTTTATAGTCCGACTGCACCACAGCTCAGAGGGAAATACTTTACTGTAAATCACTGAAACACTGACGCAGCATTTTACTGCACAATCTACACTTTCACGTTACTGGCAGTACTTTTATTTCAGTCAGGTTTTAAATGCAGGGCTTTGACTTGTAGTGGGTTCTTTTTGTAGCGTGGTTTTAACAGCAGTAAAGAATCTGAGTACTTCTTCCACTACTGTGTACCCCAGACGTCCCTCTCCCCAGCAACACTCTCCAGCTCCTCCTGGAGGACCTGAGGTGTTCCCAGGCCAGATGAGATATATAATCCCTCCAGTGTGTTCTGGGTCTGCCCCGGGGCCTCCTACCAGTGGGAGGTGCCCAGAACACCTCTAACAGGAGGCGTCCAGGAGGATCCTGATCAGATGTTGAACCACCTCAACTGACACCTTCTGACGCGAAGGAGCAGCGGCTCTACTCCGAGCTCCTCCCCCTATCTCTAAGGCTGAGCCCAGACACCCTGCTGAGGAAACTCATTCAGACACATGTATCGACGGTCTCTTTCAGTCACTACCCAGAGCTCATGACCATAGGTGAGGGTCGGGACGGAGATGGACCAGTGCAGAGGGAACAATCCACCAGTTTCCAGCAGAGAACCATGTCCTTAAACTTAGTGGTGCTGACTCTCATCCCGGCTGCAAACCGCCCCGTGTTCTTTCTTCAAGTCCACAAAGCACATGTAGACTGGATGGGCAAACTCCCACGACCCCTCCAGCAGCCTCACAAGGGTAAAGGACTTGGTCCACCATTCCACAGCCAGGACAGAATCCGCATTGCTCCTCCTGAATCTGAGATCGGAGCCTCCTTTCCAGCACCCTGGATTAAACTTTCCCAGGGAGACTGAGCAGTGTGCTACCCCAGTAACTGGAGCACATCCCCCACTCCTTTTTAAAAAAGAGAACCACCACCCTGGTCTGCCACTAAGTAAATAAAATTTATAAATATGTACTTCATTGGCGAGCGTCACCCCTGCAGCCATCACACTCAGTGTTGGTGTACCCCAGGGACGTGTGCTCGGCCCGCTACTGCACTACCTACATTTATTCACGTGCTGTCATTTATATTTTTCTATATGTTTATAAGTCAGACTTGTACAGACTTTCTGTGTTGCACTGCATGTTTGCACATTGTTTTATGTGTTCATTGTTTTACACAGAGGACCAGGAGGAACCTCTCCTCTATACACTGTACCACACTGTCTGCAGGCAGACGACAATAGTGTCCCACTTATTATTCATCAAACAGGTATTTCATAATTTTATCTTGATTTGTACTTTGTAAGACACGTCCGAACAGAATGATACACATACAGATGGAGCGTTGAAAAGACGGTACCAAACAGAAAAGGACAACAAAAGTAAAACAAATGTAACATAATTAAAATTTAAATAAAGACGCAAGTGGGTGTGACAAAAGGTTCACCTGAGAATTTTAAGATAGTTCATACATTTGTTGTTTTGACAGCTTTTTTTGTTTTGTCAGGAAGGTATTGCTGACAGGAAACGGCCCGTCTCCTTCATGAGTACAAAGAAATTATGTTTTTAAATTGTAAATTTACAACTGTGAATGTGAAATTTGGTGAAAAGTAAAGTTCGATTTTAATTTTCATTCAAACATAAAAAGATAACAGCACAAGTTGATTAAGATATATATGTAATATTGATATTAACATTTATTTGTTGTAAGGCAAAGATAAGTTATTACTCCCACTGCGTTTGGGATGTGTAAATCAAACTAACTACACACTAATTAGGCCTATGTGTAACCACGACTTTCTCTCTGTCTGTCCATGTCTCTTTTTTTTTTTTACATGTTAGAAATAAATATCGAATATAAATATCATTTTCTTGTCCCTGTTAGTTTCCACCGCAGGTGATCAAACCCTTGTGTGTTTGTGTTTCCTGAAAATGAAGCGGAGTGAGACCTCTTGGTGACGTCAGTGCTGCCCTCTGACGGTCAAACGGCTCCATGTCAGGTGAGACAGTTTCACTTTAATTAACAGGAAACACATGAAAGAGGCGGGAATTTATTATAAGAACAAAGTATTGTTACTGTGTGTTGTGAGTACTGTTACTGCAGTAACACCTGTGAGTACTTCCTCCACCATTATTGGCTTATTAACGGGTGTAACTGAGTGTGTGTGTGTGTGTGTGTGTGTGTGTGTGGCGGCTCTCCGGAGCAGCAGGAGGCGCTGCTGAGCTCCAGTCTCTGCCGGTAACAATAAGGAGAAGAAGAAAAACGGCGGTGTAAACAAACCGTTAAGCTAACTGTCTGGCTGTCGGGCTAATTGTCGGTGTTTCAGCGGGATAAACGTTAAATAAGAAGATGGTGACGTTCAGCAGACGGGACCTGGACCGGATCTACTCTGTGGTACGGTCACTGCACACACTCTCCGTTAAACTTTGGTCCCCGTTACCGGAAAGCTAACGGCTAAAGCTAACTTAGCTAACCGCAGCTAACAGTTAGCTAGCAGCCACCTAACGTCAGCCTGTTTAAGGTTCACAGATATTAAAATGAAGTTGAAATAAAAACGGAGCGGTTCCGTTATAATATTATTTATTTGCTTTACTGTGTGATGAATTATTTAGTTAGTGAAGCAGTGATTAGCTACATGTTGTTAACAGATCAGAGGAATAATTACTCAGATCTTTAAAATCAGAAATAATTCACTGATCCCTGAGGGGACATTGATCCGTTACAGTATGTAGAGAGTATGAAATATAATAATGTGACTATAACGTAATTAAATAAGGTTAAAAACAAATACAAATGTATAGTGTGCTACAATGTTGAGAAAAATATAATTGAAATGTCTGAAAAAAGTGAGTTGAATGTCCAAAAATATTAATAAATGTTACAAAAAAAAAAGAAAAAAGAAAAAAATGTCAATAAGACGACTGGGAAAAATGTTGATAAAATGTCTAAAGATTTTAATAAAATGTCAAAAAATATTGATAAAATATAATGAAAATATTAATGAAATGTCAAAAAAAAAAGTTAATAATAATAATAAACTTTATTTCTATCGTGCTTTTCTTAACCAGAGTTACATAGTGCTTTACAGTGCCACACAATATGAAAATCAAAGATGTTTGTAATAAGATGTCCAAAAAAAAGTTTATGAAATGTCCAGAAATATTGATAAAATGTCTGAAAATATTAATATTAATAAATTAAAAAAATAAATAAATAAATAAAAAAATGTCAATAAGACATCTGGGAAAAATGTTGATAAAATGTCAGAAAAAATATTAATGAAATGTCCAAAAAAATGTTAATAATAATAAACTTTATTTTGATTGTGCTTTTCTTAACCAGAGTTACATAGTGCTTTACAGTACCACACAATATGAAAATCAAAGATTACTGTAATGAGATGTCCAAAAATAATAATAAAATTTTCCCCAAAAAAGTTAGTAAAATCTCAAAAAAATATTAATAAAAATATCCGAAAATATTTATAAAATATCCCCTCAAATGTTGAAAAAATGTGAGAAAATATTTTTACTATTAAAGTATGACGTGAGGTGAGCATATCTTTTAATTACATTTTATCATCCTTAATTTCAAGTTTCCCCATGATATCAAAAATGGTATCAGATATTGCTTTTTTTTAGGTATTGTATCAAAGTGTGACTTCATCTGTAAATAACAGTGAAGGACAGACGTGTTGTTGATGGTGATACGTCTTTATAATCGCACATTGAGGTTCTGTCTGCTGGCCTTGAATACGTTTCTTCTTCTGTGTCTCTCAGCTGCTGCTCTCCATCGTGATCTTGTCCTGGTCTTATGTGATCTACGCCAGCAGGATCGCAGCTCATTGGCTGCTGGAGGAGAGGACCGCCCTCCTGCAGCAGCACTGACAGCCCATTAGACGGCCCGTACCGGTGAGCGTTTACACACAAGTGCTGTAGATGAAAGTGTGTGTTTTATCAGGAAGTCAAAGATGAAAGACTCGTTTTCTTAAACAGAAATTATTCTGATGAAGTGTTTTCATTATTGATTCATCTGCTGAGGTTTTTATAAACTCTCTGTCTGTCTGTCTGTCTGTCTGTCTGTTGTCCTGGTCTCTGGTCTCAGGCTGACAAACCCTCTAAACCCTCCTGAGATTCAGACCTCTGACTCGCAGAGAGACTCGACCTGCTGGACCACGTTAACATTAAAACCACTCAGGACTAGACTGAACCTGAACCAGGACCTGGAAATGCTTCCAGCCCGATGGGGTCTGAATGGGAACGACTGCACTGAGACAAGACAAGGACTTATGGGGACAGTGTCTCTCAGACTGATATGAAGTGTGCGCTGCACATGTGAGCATTTTTGATGATGGCCTCCGTCCAGTCCTTTGGTCTTATCACATTTAACCATAGTTGTCTTTGTTTTTGTTGACGGGCAGTGGCGGCTGGTTTTGAGCCATGACTCCTTCTATTCTGGCTCCCAATAACACAACAAACAAACACATTTTAACACTCCTATGGAGCCTACAGCCCTGTGGGGGAGAGGCAGCTGCACCTCCAGCTGATAACATTATGTCATCGTGACGTCGACCCTCTCGGAGAGGAAGATAATAAAATGACATTAGCTCTGGTGTTGCAGCAGGGACCCTTCTGTTGTGTGGTTCACGTTGTGTAATATTTGTCTCCGTGTGTTTTGATATTAAAGAGTTTTTCCAGTTCTTCAGTGTCAGAGACTCGTTTCCTCTCCGCTGTGATTGGCTGTTACAGACTCGACATGGAGGATCCAATCAGATTCATTCTGAACAAAGAGCAGCGATATGAATGGAGTGTGTGTGTGTGTGTGTGTGTGTGTGCATTCTCTGATGTATTCAGTAATTAAAAGCTCTGAATCACACACACACACACACACACACACACACTCGTGGTGTTGTGTAACGATGAGACAGTGTTTGATGTGTGTGTGTGTGTGTGTGCGTGTGTGTGTGCGTGTGTGTGTGTCCTCAGATATGTAAATGCTCTCAACAGAATGGGTGGATGAGAGCGGGGCTCTTTGGGTGAGTACTCATCCTATTAACAAAAACACTTCAAACACACTCACATGTTTCTCATCTGTAATTAAAAGCCAGCCTCTCTGCTGCTCGTCTCCTCCATCGCTGTGTTTCCTATAAAGACAATCTGATATCTGTGATAGTTTACCAAAATGACACTCTGACTAATCGTACAGTCTTTGGGTTATCTTTATAAAGTTTGACTGTTTATATTTAATAGGTAAGTTGTCTTCCTGAGACTTTAAGTCCTTGGTCTTTTTAATATACGTGTAAATATGCAAATAAACTAAACTAATAATCAATGAACAGCTGAACAAAAACTGACTCCACTTAATAGTTTCACTCTGCTGTGTATGAGGTCCTCTTTAACAATTAAAAAACGAACCACACTCCGTTCTGTACTGAAAATATGAAGCTACAGTTAGCTTAGCACAACGACTGAAAACAGTCTTAAAGCTAAGCTAAGATAGCGGTTTCCCTTTGTTTCCAGACGGCATGCTAAGCTAACTTAACTGTTTCCAGTCTTTATGCAAAGCTAAGTTTGCTGTTTCCAGTCTTTATGCTAAGCTATGTTAGCAGTTTCCCTTAGTTTCCATTCTGTATACTAAGCTAATTGAGCTGTTTCCAGTCTTTATGCTAAGCTATGTTAGCTGTTTCCCTTTGTTTCCAGTCTTTATGCTAAGCTAACTTAGCTGTTTCCAGTCTTTATGCTAACAGCTTTTTCCCTTTGTTTTCAGACTGTATGCTAAGCTAACTTAGCTGTTCCCAGTCTGTATGCTAAGCTAAGATAACTGTTTCCGTTTGTTTCCAACTCTTATGCTAAGCTAACAGAAATATAAAAATACTTAATGAATTCTCTCTCAGCTGGTTATCGGTCAGTTGGAGAGATGATTGGAAAAGAAAGCACAAAGTGAGAGCAGTTAATCAGTTAATCGATTAGTCGACTGTCAGAAAACACGTGTGTGTGTGTGTGTCTGTGTGTGTGTTGTGAAAAGAAAAGCGAGCTGCCTCCTGCAGCTGTGCTCATATTCAAACCTCTCATGCAGCTGAGCCTGTAGAAGAAAAACCCTCTGCCTGTGTGTCACGTGTATCACACGTCCAAACATGCTGAAATAGAAATATATATGAACTAACATCAGCAGCCATGTTTGTAGATTTATCACATGCAGCTGTAAAACCAGAGAAATGAAATTTAACCACAAATGATGATTTAACATTTCACTTTTAAAAAACTTCCCATGAGGTCATTTTAATGTTTATTGTACCTGAAGACATGTTGGTGTGTCCTGTGACGTCCAAAAATAACAGAAGCACTTTCAGATTATTGTGATAAAATGTGAGATTTTCAGCAGATCGTGACCTGTTAAAGGAAACGGACGACACATGACTGTTATAATCTGGATTTATTATCTACATCATGAAATTAATATTTGATACGTGGTGATAACGAGAGTGTTGTCCTGAAACCAGTCGGTACAATCACCATGACAAACAGTGTTAACGATCTGTCTGGGTTTCAGAATACTGAGAGAAGTAAGAGAGCCTGTGAGGGTCAAACAAACAAACAGTGGAGATCCACTTGTCTCTTCGTCCTTCTGTCCATCTTGGCTGCTGACAAGTAAACAAATCCCCTCATGTCCGTCTCTTCAAGTCGTCCATCTGCTCGGCAGCGTCACATGAATATTCAGACGGTGCAGCCGAGCCAGCAGAGACAATGATGAGCCACCTAAATCTGAACCATCACTGTTTCATTTTATATTTTATCCTCTGTTTTCTGTAAATGTCAACAAAACTCGTCCTCAGTGTCCATAATGTTTGTTTTGTTTAGTATTTGATCAATTTCAGACACATTGTAATAAAACTGGACCAAACAAACAAACAACGACACTGAAACATTTAATTTATAACCACAGTAACTGCAGCACAGTGAACACACATATATATATATACACAGATCCTCCATGTCAAATACTGAAAGTAAAAGTCCTGCTTAACTATAAGTACTGGAAATATTTTAATTAAATGTATTTTAAGTGGCAAAATTAAAATTATTTCTTATGCAAATAAATTGCTTATTTGCTGGTATTTTATTTGACATATATTTATGATTGGGTCGTCCTCATTTTCACAAAACAAGTGAATAAATCTGTCATTTCAGTAAAAATGTAAAAAAAAAAAAAAGAATTGGAAAATACAAATTAATTTGTATGAAAACAGGTCTGAATATTCTTACAGCTCTGATAGACTGAGACATTTATATGGACATGAAGGACCCATCTTTGATCCCGTGTTAGGTGTGTCCTGTTTACATGTTTGAGTATGAGAACATCATATTCCATTTGAATATGTTAGCTGGAGCGCTCTGAATGAAACTGGGATGTATATGAGGAATGTGGATGTGGTTATTCACGTCCATATAATCACACAGAGTGTGTCACTTTTAAATTTTAAAACATTTTTTTTAAATTAAAATTATTTAAAATTTAATTTAATTTTTTTAAATTAAGAACTCCTTTAAAAACTAAAATGATATTTTATAAACTGAAAGTAAAACATAAGTTTGCAAAATAATTTCTAAGATAAATTAAGTCAAAAGTAAAAATGAAATACTTCACACTATAGTTAACAAAACTGTACTGAATGTATGGAGGACAAATAACCACACAAGTATAAAAAAATGTATAAATAAGATGTGAATAAATAAATAAACACATAAATAAATAAATAAATAAATCAGGTTAGAATTTTACCTCATAGACATACAGACACAGAAGTACATAAATAATGTACAAACGTGGATATAAATTTAAGATATATGTTTTTGCATTTATTTATTTCCATATGTATTTTAAAAATTTTTATTTATTCTTTTATTTATTTAAGCATTTATTCCTGTGTTCATTTGTGCATTTATGTATTTATTCATACATTCATTCATTTATTCCCTAATTGATTTATTTTTTCTGTATTTATTTATTTATTTAAACATTTATTAATTTAATTCCATATTAATTTATTTATTCCTGTAATTATTTGCACATTTATTTATTTATTCCATATAAATGAACCACATGTACCACAGGTGGGAAATATTTTGTATCTGCTCTAAAACGTCTCTCTGAATGAGAACAGGGAGGTTTCTTATTAAGATATGATCTAGTGCACTTTCAGAATAGGAAATTAGAAGTAAAGGTCTGTTTGTCGTGTATTATTTAAGGTGTAACAATGATATTTAACACACAGAGCTGACAGTCAGTCGTGATCATGTGTGTGAGCTGCAGGTCGTTCAGAGGACGATGATGAACACGTAACTTTTAACACACTGAAACTCTCCAGGCTCACTGTGAACTCTGAAGACACCTGAAGACACATCAGGCCGGATCCAGGAGGACGTCGTCATTTACAAACCCCGGCATGGAGGAGTACAGCTCTCGCTCTTTCTCCGCCTCTGTCTCCGTCTCCATGGTGATGTTTTTGGTCGTCTTGGTGTCGGGGTTGACGTCCTTGGAGACCAGAGACATCTTCTTCCCCTCCAACCAGTAAGTGACCATGTCCCCTTTCCCCTGTTAGAGACAGAATCCGGAGTGTTACTGGGCAGCTCCCAGTGCTCCCAGTACCTGACAGAACTGAGCTGTGGCGGGCGGCTCACCTTGACCTGCAGCGTCCCTCTGCACTCCAGCACGTAGCCGCCGATCTCCTCCAGCAGGTAGAAGGCACTGGAGCTGCACTGGATCTTCAGAGCTGAGAAAAATCAGATACTTTACTGAAGTAAAAGTACCAATAACACATAGTAGAAATACTCTGTTACAAGTTCATCAGTAAAAGTACAAATGTATTAGTGTCTAAATATGCTTAAAGTTCCAAAAATAAAAGTACTTATTATGAAGAATAGCCAGAAAATTACAGGGATCAGTCTGACAGGTTTTTGTTCAAATTTTCTTCAAACTCCAAATCTGCTGTCTTGGACAAGAAAAATTAAATTTGTAAAATATTATGGCTGAATTTTGAAAACTGCAAAGTTTTTTTGTCACTCGGATTTTTGTCATCTGTCAGGCTACGAAAAAAAGTCTTTTTTTATGTTGTGTTCACACCGGGAGCGAATAAAACAATTGGCGTAAGTGAATTACATTATAAGTCACTGTAAAGACGTGATTAGACCCAAATTCCCACCAGGCGATGGACACGATGCAAACGACGTGAAATATGTGAGTCAAGCGACATTAATGAAGCGAGTAGCCCCATTTCGGGTCATAGGCTTCATCGCAAGAGTTGAAAAAACTGAACTTTAGCGACCGATTTGGGTCGTTATAGCCAATCAGCATTTAGATCCTTAAGGGACGTATGACACGAGGACGTACTCGCGGAAGTTCATTAATCGATTCAGCGATGTCACGCGCATATGACGC